ACTTGGAATAAAGCTGAATTTGTCACAAAATAAACAAATCCCATATGGAATGCAATTAGCAAGGTTAAAGAAAAGCAGGTTACAGTGAAAGGTGTGTTGTTTTCCTTCCATGTAAAGCTAAGCTTCTGCTAGTGAAAGAGTTAATTTTCTGCAGAATGCCAACAGCGATTCCAGTAATGGATGTTGCTTTGTGTTTGCCCTTACAAAGGAAGTCATGGCTTGGCACTTCAGCGAGTGGCTGGAATGCTGCGGCTGTGCATTTCCTGGTTGTGTTCTCACTGGCTGTGCTCTGCTATCAGGATACAGGGGAGAAAGACCAGACAAACAGTTCAGAGAAACTCTGAAGCCTTATCTTTTCCTTATCTTCTACTGTGCTGTAGAGCGCCACCTGGTGCACGGATAGGTAGGAATCTGATCACATTTTTTTTAGCACTTGTATTTTGATATAGAACAGTAAATGTTTCTTGATTGAATATTTTTTTCATTTATAGCATAAAAAGGTTGGCCATCATTGCCACAAATCAAGAAATATTCAATCAAGAAACATTTACTTTGTTGGAACATTGGCCACCACATATATAGAGGTTCAGACATAGAAAACCCCTTTGGCTCAATAGATCTCATCCTTCCAGAATACCCATCCAACTCTCTTTCCATTACATCAAACTGCTTCTTAAATTCATTCCATTCTGGTAACCCATTCTAACTATTGATTACACAATATAATAATAATCCTTGATAAGGATTGATATAGTGCCTTATCACATTCTTAAGACATCTCAAAATGGAGAGAGCAGTGCTGGCACCGTGTATTGGGTGGAGAGAGAATTGTTTTCGACCAAATTGCGATTAACATGTGTTTTGGTGAGATCGATATATCAAATGCAAGGTTTATTATTTTGGTGAGATCGGAAGGTGGGTCGAATACCTCTGTTGAGGTTAAAGCTGTTCTCTGGAGCATTGAGAGATTGAGAACGCCTCTGCATATGAAATATGCAAATGTGAAATGGGGAACCTGTGGAAGGTAGTACAAAAATGTCTTACATTTCTGTATAATTCCACAGGTGACACTATCAGAATACTGAATTATGAGAGAAGACACAAATTCAACTGCATAGGCCTGTGAATGAGTAATGATTTATCACTAGGGATTTGAGTTCTCCGCAGAGCAATGTTGTAATTACCACAGTTTTAACTCAAAATTATAAACATGAAATTTCTTAGTATCCTGAGTTACCTCATAAACATAAATGTGATAAAAAATTGTTCTGATGTTGTTCAACGCCTTGGGACGTCCTCCCAACGTGAAAGATGCTCTATAAATATAATTTTGTTGTTGCTGTTGATGAACACATTGTCGCCCTGTACTTAAGGCATACACAGCTTTAGTTTGCATCGTTACAATGTTTATCTGTTCCCTTTTTCACTGTAAAATGAGTACCACACCCTGCTCCACAGTTAGCTTCAACCCCACTGAGGTGTGGAGGATCAAGTCTTAAGATTGCTTGCAAGTTATCAAGAAACCAACTGTTCCATTGTGTTAGAAACAAATGTTTATCAGTTAAATGAATGTGACCAGTTCAAGCTATTGTTTCTGAACAAGAAGTTTCCTCATATTTTATTGAGTGGTTCCTGCTTTTATCCAGTGTGAGGAAGTTATAATTAACATTTTGCCTTGTAACTTTTGCAGGAAAAATAAAATATCATGCTAATACCTAACATTCAAAGTCTCAAGGGAGATTACAATAAAGGAGTATTTGTGAATTTAAAAAGAAACTCCAAGCTGAACCATTCCATAGTGTGAAAATTATTTCACTGGAAATTATAGCACTGCGTCATGTTTTCATTCATATTGTCAATTTTCTTTCACACCGCAAGTCTCGAAGATGTGATAAGGCTCTATATCAAATGCAAGGATTATTATTATTATGAAATTAGGTCAATAAAACTGCTGGTTTGCTAGAAGGACATTGAAAGCACAAACCAGCTGCCCATTTGCCTCAATAATGACATTCGCTTCTTTTCAATGTAACCTCTATTTTTTGCTGTGATAGTACCTGACAATGTTTAACTGACATGCCTCTTGTTTGGGTTGAGTGGAGTCATTCACATCACGAGAAGCGGTAAGTTGATTGACTTGATGGCGGTGACAAAATGACACTAATATTAATATGGTGGATACACAAAAGACCGTGGATATTGAATTGTAACCAGATGTGTGCTCGTGCCTGAGGGTACTCCAATGTGATGGGATCTCCTTCTGGGTATATCAGAGCAGAGTTCCCATGAGTCCCTAAAGACCTTCCTTTTTGATTGTGCTTACAATCACCTCCCCTCTCCCCCTGGCTCCTTGTCAGACTCCATCACTGTAAAGCGCTCCGGGACGCTACCCCATGCGAAGGGCGCTGTATAAATGAAGTTGTTGTTGTTGTGAGTCGAGTGACACATTTGGGAATCTGCAGAATACATAGCACAATTGGCTGCCGTGTTTCACCCACAAAATATACTTTACAGTATACTCTGTGAGGCGCTTTGAGACGTCTAGAAGACATGAAAAGCGCTATATCAAATGCAAGGATTATTATTATTTTTATTATTATTGGATTCAGTTTTCCTGCATGCTTGGCCTTTGAGAAGCCTGATTACATTGCTCCCACAGCTGAAGTTGCTTCGAAGCCAAGATGCTGAAGAAGCTGAGGCTAATTCAGTGTGAGGAAGTTATTATTAAGCTCTTCACCTGTTCCTCAGTCTAAGATCAGCTAATCAGAATCCTTCTGGTCTTTATAATATTTCCCACTTGACCATCAGACATGATCGAGTACCTTTTTGTTCAAATTACTGTACAGAGATATAGAGGAAAAAATAGTTCTATATGTTAATTTTTCCTACAACAAAAATGTAATTTCCCTACACTACAAGGGACACCCTCCCAAGACCTTGGCTGCTCTCGTGCAACACACAGTCCTAACTGCATATTGCTTCTTGTTCTATAGTTGACAAGATCAATCATTTCTGGAAACAGTAGCCAGGCCAGCCCAAAGCACCAACCTATATGAAACTAAAGGATACACCTTTCACCAGAGGAGATAAGATTAAGGTTTCAAATAATAAAGCATGCAATCTATTCTTTTATATATTTTCTCTATGTCTTTCTCCAATATCTTTATGTATTACCTCCAATTGCTTTTGCAGCAAACATCGCTACCATTTGTGAACCTATTTACAAAATGTGAACAGGTAGTAAATCTGCAGAAGACTGGTTTATGATGCAATCCAATTTTATTATGAGCAGTAATACTGCCCCACCATTATGTTCTATAAGAAAATATTGGGTAAGAAAGACTTACACCTGTGGTCAATCCGTGCTGCAGAAATAGCAGCATCTTCTTCAAATTGTTGGTGAAACACCATCATATTTCTATTACGTTACAGATAAGTAATTAACATTTCAGACTTCATTCAATAATGTAGGAATCCTTACCATAGACAAAATTCATCTTTATAACTCATTTTTTTCTTCTAGATCTAGAAGTAATTTTAAGAAAAAGAAACTTTTGTTTCTGCCTTATCTTTTCTCAAGATTTTGTAAAATAATTAATGTACCATATTCACTGCCCTTCCCATTTAATCGGCTAAATGAATATTCCCCAATCTTCAAGGATGATCAAGACAGATTGCAATTTTTTGGTCATCCATGTCTGACTCATGTGGAAAGCCATCACCATGCAAAAGACTATCCAAATCAAACAGGGATCCATGCATCCTGCCTACACATGGAAAGTCCCATGTCGGGAATGGAATGTGCAGGCTAGAGGGACAAATCCTCCTAATCTAATTCCAGAGAGTATTAGGCTGGTGAGAGCCAAGGTTTAAGGACCCTAGAATGTGCATTGGTGAACTGCTGGAGCCTAACCAGCTAAAACCACAAAGCCAGCCATTGTAAACAGAGTCTGGTAAGCTTCCTGCTGCTTGTACAGCTAGAACCACCCTACCTTTCAGGGCTTTAGATTTACAAAGATGTTACTGGAAATGAGTGGATATGGCTGTCAAGAACTTGAAGGACTTGGAGATCGCAATCTAGGTTGTCACTCCAGTGTAGTCCTGGGGGTGTCCTGCATTGCTGGAGATGTGTCCTTCGGATGAGGTGTTAAGCCAAGGTCAGGTCAGACTGTTCAGATGGATTTTAAAGATTCTGTGGCACAATTCAAAAAGAGAGAGATTTTCTTCTGGTGTCCTGGTCAATTTCTCAAATAATGTTAGTTGGCAGGAGCTAATGCTTGATTGCCGCAAGCTGTTTGTGGGACATTGCTATTTGATTATTATCCCCAGAAAGCAATACGCCAATCAACTAACTGTTCCTACTTACTGCTAGTTAAATAGAGATGTGTGGAGTAAGGAGATATGCCTAAAGTTTTGCCTCGCCCAGGAATTGAACCCGGATCCCCTCACTTGCAAAACGAGTGAAGCTACGGGCCTCCACCATTTCAGGATGCTTCTGGAAAGAAAAACACTTAAGATCAGGTGCAGGTCAGTGAATTCTGTGCCATGCAACAGGTAGCAACGGTTCCCTTGAGCAGGGTCAAGTTATTGCGGGAGGTTCATTGAACAATTGCTGTTTAGCCTGGCAAGCACCAAGCAATGCCTTGAGTAAGGTGAAGATGGTAAAGATCGTGCACATGAAAAACCTCTTTCATTCCCTTTTCAGATTCTCGTGAAGGACGGAGAAAGAATAAATTCCACACGGGAAAGGGAGAATCTCGACCAAGATCTATTCAGATTGCACTGGTTCCTCTGCCCTATAATTAGCCCTGCTCTTTGCCTCATGAGGTCTGACAATATTCAAAAGCTTTTCAACACTGCAGAATGACCAATAAATGCAGCTCACTTTTTTTTTATTGGATTCATGACCAATAAAGCAATCAATTGTATTGTGAAAGCTACTCCTTGTGTAAATACATGGCTTCAACGTGAACTTTGTCATCAAGGCAAGGGTCGCAAGTCGCTGAAGAAAAACAAAATGGTAAACTGTCAGGAAAGGCAAAGTAAAGGAGAGCTACAAGGAGGCAGACCCTGATAACATAGCCTTCAATATAGCACACCGATCGCATTGAAAAGCAAATCAGCTGTCAGCTGTCAGCCTCATCTCAAATTCAAAGTGATATCAAACAGCAGGAATAAAATGAAAAGCAACCTAAAGAATGTTCTTGTCGTAAGCTTGGGATTTTTCCTGCTTTTTACTGCTTTTGGAGGCCTTCAAAATATCCAAGTGAGTTTGAAGTTATAAAGGAAATATTTTTAATGTCACTGTGACATCAGATTGCAACATCAGCATGTTTATAAACTATTGGGGGGGATTGTTTTGGCCTGTGAAATGTTTTTTTTCTGCACTGTTTATATTTTTTTACATAAAGTACCTTTATACTAAACTGTACCTTGAATAGCTGATATGCATCCAGTGAATGATGTGTATACAGTGGCTGATGTATATCTAGTGAATAATGTGTATCCAGTGGCTGATGTATATCCAGTGGCTGATGTGTATCTAGTGGTTGATATGTATCCAGTGGCTGATGCGTATCCAGTGAATGATGTGTTTCCAGTGGCTGATGTGTATCCAGTGGCTGATCCGTATCTAGAGGTTGATCTGTATCTAGTGGTTGATGTTTATCCAGTGGCTTATGTGTATCTAGCATCACCATCCATGGTTGCACACTCCACCTTGCCAAGCCAGTCCGGAATCTTGGATATTATTTGACCCGCAACTATCCTTTCTACCCCACATCTGCGTCATGACCCGCTCTGCCTTCCCCCACCTCCGCAACATCGCCAGACTCTGCCACTGTCTCACACCGCAGGCCGCCGAAACCCTCATACACGCATTCATTACATTGAGGCTCGACTATGCAAACTCGCTGCTTGTCGGCCTCCACAACTCCTCCCTCCACAAGTTGCAGATCATCCAGAACTCTGCAGCCCATGTCCTCTCCCGTACTATGCTCCACGACCCTATCACCCCCATCCTTGCCCAACTCCACTGGTTTCCCATCACACAGAGGAAACAGTTCAAGATCCTGATCCTCACCTTCAAAGCCCTCCATGGTCTTGCTCCCCCCTACCTCTCCGACCTCCTAACCCCCTATCATTCTGCTTGCTCCATCCGTTCAGTGGGCTCTAGCCTGCTTGACATCTCCCGCCTTGCTCGCCTCAGTATTGGCAGGTGGACCTTCTGCCACGCTGCCCCCACTATCTGGAACTCATCCTGCAGTCCCTCCACCTCACACCCTCCCTTGCGACCTTCAAGACCAATCTCAAGACCCTCCTCTTTGACCTTTCCTTTGATCTCTCTGCTTTCCCCCCATCCTCCACCCTCCCCGACCCCAACCCTCAGCTCAGGTCTGAAACTCTGTCTGTAATTTTGTTATTGTTGTTGTTGTTGTAGTTTGTGTATCCAGTGGTTGATGAGTATCTGGTGGCTGAAGTGTAACCAGTGGCTGATGTGTAACCAGTGGCTGATGTGTATCTAGAGGTTGATATGTAACCAGTGGCTGATGTGTAACCAGTGGCTGATGTGGATGCAGTGGCTGATGTGTATCCAGTGGCTGATGTGTATCTAGAGGTTGATGTGTAACCAGTGGCTGATGTGGATGCAGTGGCTGATGTGTATCCAGTGGCTGATGTGTATCTAGAGGTTGATGTGTAACCAGTGGCTGATGTGGATGCAGTGGCTGATGTGTATCCAGTGGCTGATGTGCATCTAGAGGTTGATGTGTAACCAGTGGCTGATGTGTAACCAGTGGCTGATGTGTACCTTGTGATTGATGTGTAACCAGTGGCTGATGTCTTATTCTGAATGTCTTGTGAACCCAGATAGGAGGAATGGGTTACTTTGGTGACTTCCCTTTGTTCAGTGTTCAGTGCTGCTTAGCATCCCCAGCACCTGTGATGATGCTCTAAAAGTCCAGACCCAATGTTATATTCCAATGTTCAAAATATGATGCAAATCCCTGACATAAGGGATGGTGAGAAAAGCAAAGGTGAGCACCCACAAGGCTCACACCCCGAGGTGCCTGTGTTTTCCAGCTAAAATGACTATCTTCCAGGATGCATGGATTTCAATAAACTTTCAGTATATACCAATCCATGCCTTCCAGAGTGTCTCCTTGAGCTGGGCAAAGTCACAATACAGTATTGTGCATTCTACATGTCATTCTATGGGTACATACAATAACAGGTAAAGTACACTGCATGTTTCATGAATACAAACAATGGGAGATTGGGGATGTAACACATGCTGTTTGAAACTATTAAAACAACCTGTGCTAGACCCTGGTACATTAAAGATACAGGAAGGTGACATATATTATAAATGCAAGAACATGCACCTGGAAATTTGCAGATGAGACTAAATTGAGGGTAGGTGGCCACAAATTCAGTTCTGCAAACCTTTGCTCATAACACCCTTGGATAATTGCCACTTGTGTCTTGGATTTAATGATTCACTTTTATTGGATGTACACCATAGAATTGCCATCACATAATCCTTGCTTTTAATATAGTGCCTTATCATGTCATCTTAATGTCTAAAAGTGCAAAACCAGCAGCAATGTATCCAGCATGTTTATAAATTAACAGGAGTTACTGTGTAATTTAGTGATTGTATATTTGTAGGCAAATGCGACAGCCAATTTGTACATAGCAATATCATGCAAACAGCCATAAAGTGAATGAACTTATTTAAATTTTCAAATGGATTAGGATCTTTAACTTCCACCTGATCAGGCAGATGGGACCTTGGTTTATAGGCTCATCCAAAGGACAATGCCTGTAATAATGAAGCGCTCGCCAGCTCTGAACTGGAGTGTTAACCTAATATATAGCTTACAGAAGATCTAAGTAGGTTGGATAGATTACCACAATAGGGCAGAATTGTACATACTCTGTGGCAGGAATAAATTCATAGGCCAAATAGTATTTTCTGATTCTACAATGGAGTTCACTTTCTGAATGTACCAAACTGAATAACGTCATTCATTGTGTGATTTTTTTCACTCAATTTGTTTTCTTTCTATTTTACAGAGCAGTCTCAACAGTGATGATGGCTTAGGTGTGGCCTCATTAGGTGTCATCTATGGTGCCCTCATCTTTTCCTCTTTGTTCGTTCCATCGCTTGTCATAAAATACCTTGGCTGTAAATGGACCATCACTGTCTCCATGTGCTGCTATGTTGCATATACCTTTGGCAATTTCTATGCAAGCTGGTAACCATATATGATATTATTTTTTTATTAACAGTTTGATCATTTATGCAATTAATAATAATAATACCTACAATTGATTTGGCACCTTATTGCATCGTCGGTATGTCTCAAAGCACTTCCCAGGATAAGTGTATCTTTGTATTTTGTGGGCGAAGTGTGGCAGCCAGTTTGCATAGCAGCAGATGCAAAACAGAGTTAAAACAAATCATTATTATAACAATAAGAGAGCAAGTAGCCAGGAAAGAAGGCTAAACCCTAATAATAATAATCAATACTTTTAATATAGTGCCTTATCAGGTCATTGAAACATCTCAAAACACCTCACAAGTTGTACTGTAATTTGCCAACAGCAATGTTCCACAAACAGCCATGAAGTGAATGATTAATTTTTGGGGGGAAATTGTTGGCTAGGACAATGAGGAATTTCCATTTCTTTCTAAATAGTGCCATGGGATCTTTATCATCCACCTAAACAGACAGATAAGAATCTTGGTTTACAACAACAACAACAACAACTTGTACTTATATACAACAACAAATTTACATTTCTAAAGAGCCTTTCACGTCGGGAGGACGTCCCAAGGCACTGAGCAGTTGGGGATCAGGACCCGAGAGTGGGGTGCAGGGTTAGGATGAGGGAGGGTAGAGTGGTAGGAAAAGGAGGGTCATGAGTCGTGCCTTGAAGAAGGCAACAGAGGGAGCAAGGCGAAGGGATTTGGGGATGGAGTTCCAAAGGGTGGGGGCAGAGAGGCTGAAAGCCAGGGCCGCCAATGGTAGGGTGGGTCAGGCAGGAGACATGGAGCAGGCCGAGCCTGCTGAACGGAGGTAGTGGACAGTTGATAGGGGGTCAGCAGGTCAGAGATGTAGGAGGGGGCAAAGCCATGGAAGGCCTTGAAAGTGAGGACAAGGATTTTGAATTCTATTCTCTGAGGGATGGGGAGCCAGTGCTGAGGGCGAGGGTGGGGGTGATGGGGTCCCAGAACCTGGTGCGGGAGAGGACATGAGCTGCAGAGTTCTGGATGATTTGCAGTTTGTGGAGGGAAGAGTTGGGGAGGCTGACAAGGAGGGAGTTTCCCTAAGCGAGTCTTGAGGTGATGAATGCGTGTTTGAGGGTTTTGGTGGCCTGAGAAGTGAGGCAGTGGCAGAGTCGGGCAATGTTGCGGAGGTGGGGGAAGGCAGAGCGGGTCATGGCATGGATATGGAGGAGAAAGGACAGTTGAGGGTCGAACAAGATGACCAGGTTCCTGACTGGCTTGGAGAGGTGGAATGTGCATCCATGGATGCTAATGCTGCCAGTGCCTAAAGAGCTGAGGTGCTGGTGCGAGCCAATCAGGAGGGCCTTAGTCTTGCTGACATTCAGCTGTAGAAAGTTGACTCTTATCCAGGACTTTATGTCAGACAGACATTCTGTCAGGATGTCAGTTGTCTTGGAATCGAGGGTGAAGTCTGAGAGATAGAGTTGGGTGTCATCCTCATACATGTCTGCGGATGATGTCACCAAAGGGAAGCATGCAGAGGTTGAAGAGGAGGGGACCGAGGACAGAGCCCTGAGGCACACCACACAAATCTGTGTGAGGGCTGGAAGAGAAATCACTGGCGGAGACAAATAGGAGGCGGTGTGAGAGATAATACCTGAACCATTCAAGGACAGAACTTTGAATCTACATGCTCCCCCTCGGTGACATCATCCGCAGACATGGGGTCAACTTCCACATGTATACGGATGACACCCAACTCTATCTTTCTGCCTCCACCCTCAACTCCAGGACCACTGCTGTCCTGACAGACTGCCTGTCAGACATCAAGTCCTGGATGAGGGCAAATTTCCTACAGTTGAATGTGAACAAGACTGAGGTCCACCTGATTGGCTCGCGCCAGCGCCTCAGCACCTCAGGCTCTGGCAGCATCAACATCCATGGTTCCACATTTCAACTCACCAACCCAGTCAAGAGGTATCTCGTTCGACCCTCAACTGTCTTTTCTCCCCCACATTCAAGCCATGATCCACTCTGACTTGCCTCAAATCCATAACATTGCCCGACTCCACCACTACCTCATCCCTCAGGCCGTTGAAACTCTTATTCATGCCTTCATCACCTCCAGGCTCATCTATGCAAATGCCCTGATTGTCGGCCTTCCTAACTCCTCCCTCCACAGGCTGCAAATAATCCAGAACTCTGCAGCCCGTGTCCTCTCCCACACCAAACCCTGTGACCCCATCTCCTCCACTCTTGCCAGACTCCATTGGCTCCCTATCCTTCAGAGGATCCAGTTCAAGATGCTGGTCCTCACCTACAAAACCCTCCATGGCCTCACCCCACCCTCCCTCTGCGACTTCCAACCAACCCGCCCGTTCCCTCCGCTCAGCCGGCTCTGGCCTGCTCCACGTCCTCTAACCCATCCGCTGCACCAATGACGGGAGAGCCTTCAGCCACTCTGCCCCCAACCTCTGAAATTCCATCCCCCAGTCACTCTGCCTCAACCCCTCCTTAGCCTCCTTCAAGTCCTGCCTCAAGACCCTTCTCTTTGACCATGCCATCAGCCACCCCCCTTCCCCTCCCCTCCCTTCTCCCTCTCTGACCCCAGCTCGGGTCTGAAGTGCTGTACTCTGTCCAGCGCCTTGGGACGTCCTCCCGACTTGAAAGACGCTATACAAATGTAATCTTGTTATTGTTAATGCAAGGTTTACAGTTTGTGGTGCTATATTTTCAGTCAACCTACTGAATCAATCAGTAACCATTTCTGACATCCATTAACTCAGACTGTAAAATAAAAACTGAATTAATCACCACTACATTTGTTGCCGTTCACCTTCCCACAATTTAAAATCCAGACCAAATGGGTTGATCTGTACATTGCATCTACTGTAGACTATATCTGTACATTATTTATAAAATGCATCATGAAATAAATTCAAGGGCATACACCTGGCACCTCCACTCAACTGACATCGGCCTCCTCGCACACTCCGCTCCACCATTGGAGGTCGCGTCTTCAGTCACTACACCCCAAAACTGTGGAACACTCTCCCTCAATCCCTCTACCTTGTCCCTTCTCTCCCATTTTTCAAGTTCTGAGACACTACCTTGCGTGTTGGGCGCCATAAGTGCAAGTTGTTGTTGTAATAATTGATAGCTGGAGGCTAAGGCAGCATGGCAGAGTGGGTAGATGTTACCTGAACTACCTTACAGTAACAATTTGAGAAGGCAACATTCCAGTTTGAGAGTGGGAAGCCGTGTGTTGGACTGTACCTAGACTTCCAAAAGGTCTATGACAAAGTATCATATGAGAAAACCGTTCACAAATTGAAGTCACTCAGTATCAAAAGTAAGGTCTGGATGTTGCTTATCACTTGCTAAAGGGAAGGAAACAGAGGCCAGCAATAAAGAAGGTTAACAACAACAACAACAAGATTGGGAAGACGTCCCAAGGTGCTGCAACAGGGTGCTGGGCTATATTGACAAATCAATTGAATTCAGATTCCCAGAAGTCAATCCATTCAGTGCTCTGGTTAGGATTAATCTGGAGTACTGTGTAAGGTCCTGGCCGCCAAAACATAAGGGGGCTGCCCTTCAAGCAGTGCAGAGGAAAGTAAAGAGGCTGATCTCCAGTGTTAGAGGGATGAGTTATAAGGAACAATTAGATAAGCTTTGATATAAGTCATCTCAAAGATTCCTGATGTGGTTACATAACATGCTAAATGGTACAGAGTGACTAAACCCAGAACCATATGTTCAGATAATTTTATACAGCAAGACAAACAGCTCAGGTTATAAAGAGTTATGAAGGGTTGTAAAGAGCAATTTTAAGGCACAATCCAGGAAGCTTTTCTTTACACAGAAGGTAATCAGGAAGGATGGTAAAGGCCAGGATACTGAACTCACTTAAAAATAGCTTGATGCTGCAATAGGAAGACAGTATGATTTAAATCTAAATTCAATTGAAATTAAGTTTAAACTTTCTTGCCCTTAAATTCCTTAAGTTCTGCTTAAAACCTACTTATTAAATTGTGCTTAAGTTTGCCTTCCCTTCCCCTTCCCCAATTACCTGTCCTTTCCTTGGCATCCAACCCTGTCATTGTGAAGCGCTCTGAGACATTACCCAACATGAATATCACTATATAAATGTAAGTTATTGTAATTTTATTTTAAGACGATTAGATCAATTTTTGGGGTCAGCTGGGTGTCCAACACCTGCAGAAACCAATCACTGGCAATCTTGTCCACTGCTTGTCCAGCTGGGACAATCCTACTGGTTAGGGCTTTGGCTTGGAGGGTTAACAGGAGCTGAGCAGGAAGAATCCCTGCCCCTCCATGTCCTACTGATAAACCAGGCTAGTTGGTCTGTCATCCACAGTGTCTAGGATTATTGTGGACTCTCTTGCCTCAAGAACCAGTCTATCTTGACCGCCACAGAGGGTTGACTCAATTCTGACATGCCACTGCTAAACATGACACCTTGGAGAAGGAAGAGATGTGATGAAGGACCTTCTTCATTTCTATGCCTCTTCAGTTCCTATAATCATAGGCATACCCTCCTCCCCCCTTTCCCAGTTTAAAATTCAGGAACATTTTAAAAAAGGTCACCATGGATGATACTGACACGTATCCCTTGATAAATTGGGTTTGAATTCAGCCCAGAATTTTGGGATTAAATTTGTTGTTTTCTGTTGGCTTTAAGATTCCAATGTAAAATTCGAGTACTGTTTCTACTGAGCCCGAGGTCACAGCACAAAGTTGCCCGTAGACATGTCACTCAGAGAGGCTGCACGCTAGCTCCTGTGGGACACTGAAATGTCAATCTGACACAGTGATAGAAAGGAGAAGGGGGCTCTCTTCTGAGCTTGGGGTTGAGGTACATTGTTAGAAAACAGGAAGTAATTTTACATTAACAGTGCTTTGCCTGATCTGGGAGTGCTTGACGTTAACATAAAGTTTCCAAAATACTGCCTGAAAATGGTTCATATCCCACTGGACTTGTACTAATTTAACTTTTTAAAAAAATCTAATCTAATAATAAATTAATCCTTGCATTTGATGTTGCACCTTTTCACATCATCAAAGTGCTTCACAGAATTTTGCTAAAAGTGTAGTGATTGTATAACAAATATGGTAGCCGATTTGCGAGCAGCAATGTCCCACAAACAGGCATGAAGAAGCTGACCAATTTTATTTGGGGATTGTTGACCAGGACACTGCGAGAAACTCCCTTCTTTTTTTGAATAGTGCCAGGAGATCTTTAATGTTCAGGTTTAAGTTTAATGTCTCATCCGAAAGATGACATCTCTAAGATTGCAACAAACCCTCAGCATTGCCCTGGAATTTCTGCTCTGTGAGTTCCAACCTGGGGTTTGAACCCACAACCTTCTCAAAGGCAAGAGTGTTATCAACTGAGCCAGGCTGTCACATGGAAATATACCATACTTTATCCATTCTAATCCTTCTTTCAAAAGAGAAACTTTGTTTTAAAACAGACATCTTTTCTCTCTTCCCGAGCCTCCCTGATCCTGCTGGTTTGAAATTTTGAGAGCAACATTGCAAAGCTGACCTTTGACTCGCTGGAAATCGGATCCCACAGACTGTGTTTTTAACCAATTCAGGGCAAAAAGTATAAACTTCACGTGATCGGGTGATTGTCATAATCAGGCAATCGTCGTGATCAGGTGAATGCTTTGGCACACTTTTCTCAAACAACAGCAACTTGCATCTACATGGAATACAAACATGGAGTCCTGCAGTTCAGTGGCTAAAGTACTCGCCTAATACGTGAGAGACCTGGGTTCGATTCTCAGCAGGGCAAAATGTTGGGCAAGTTTCCTACCTCCACACGCTTCTGTTTACTTAGCAGTGAGTAGGAACCCGGTTGTTAGTTGATTGATGGATCGCTTTTCCGGGGATAATATTTCCTTCAAAAAAATAATAATAAATGTCACTTCAATCCCCGACTGTTTGTGGGACACTGCTGTGCGCAATTGGCTGCTGTGTTTCGCCCACAAAATATACAGACAATTCACTGTTCAGTATATTCTGTGAAGCTCTTTGAGACATTTCGAAGATGTGATAAGGCGCTTTATCAAATACAAGGATTATTATTATTATATAGCGCCCTTCATAACAGACAGCGTCTTGGAGTGCTTCACAGTATGAGAGCCTGACGCCGAGCCAGGGGCAGGGAGGAGGTGTCCTTAAGTATGATCGAAGAGGCGGGTCTTCAGTTGTGATCTAAAAGAGGGGAAGGAGGGGACAGGACGGAGGGATTATCACTAGCTGAATTGTGTCAGTGGCTCAGGTTGCTAAGTGACTGTATACAACATATGTTGCCACGCACTTCAGGTAATAAAACACAGCTTTTGTTTTTTCTCCGATAAGTGATCTTTTACAAATTCCATTAAACATGATACCTTTTATCTTTAAATGCCTTAAATTAGATCTAAACCAGGCATCAGCAGTTAAGATCATTTCTCATGGTTGATTACAGGACTGAGATAAACAGGGCGTTATTCAAATAAGCCAGCTGAACATGCGTAATATACAGCATTAGGACATTCTATGACCTATAAAGATTCCAGGCATCAGGATTGACCTTTTATGTATGTGAGATAACAAACAGACAGACTAGCAAAGTACTTTTTCACAGTCCATGTAAAAGCAGAATTATCCAGGCCGTATGCACTTGTTTTTGGACACCTTTCACCTCCCCCTCCCTGATTCCCCTTTCTCTCCTTCCTCAGCTCCCCCACTCCCAGCTCGGACTCCCATTCAGCTCTGTGAAGTGCTTTAAGAGGTCCTCCAGATGTGAAAAGCGCGGTATAAATGTAAAAGTACCTTTGTTGCAAAGCAGAAAAATACATGTAGCATGATATATTATGAATCAGTCACTCCTCAGTGTTAAATTATGAAAATATGATTTAATGTAAAATAACCTAAAATTAAGCAAGAGTCTGTGTCTGCCCTAGATGTCTAATGAAGATATTGTTTCTACAGGTACACACTTATTCCGACTGCAGTAATTCTTGGCCTTGGAGGTGCTCCGCTTTGGGCTGCTAAGTGCACCTACCTCACCATTAATGGTAACCTGTATGCTAAGCAATACAAGAAGATTGGAAAAGATGTAGTGAACCAGTACTTTGGGATTTTCTTCTGTTTGTTTCAGTTTTCTTCTGTACTTGGAAATCTAATCTCTTCACTAGTATTTCAACAATATTCTGCTGGAGGTAAGAAGGGGCACTCGATATTGTACATTAAATACTGTAATATATGATTACCGCATAAATGTAATGTCATCTTGATTGAGTTGGTTGTACGCTTACCTCCTCATCAGAATCATCTAGGTTTAAGCCCAGTTCTCGGCTTGCCTCCTCATCAGAATCCTCTGGGTTTAAGCCCAGTTCTGGGACTTAAACTCATAGTCGGGGCTAACAATCCAATGCAGTACTTGGGGGAAGTTGGTGCCTTTTATCTTTAAATGCCTTAAATTAGATCTAAACCAGGCATCAGATAGGACGTTAAACCTATCACCAGCTGTCTGTTCAGGATGGTAAAAATACCATGATACTGCGTACAGCCCCATTACAAGGTGTTTCATTATAACTCAGGTTTCCTTTAGTGTGGTTGGGGTGTGGACCCCGACAAATCCAAAATGCATGCTTCAGTTCCATCAGTGCTTCAAAAATCAGTGCAGGAAGCCATACATCTGACTTGTGGGTTATCAGGTCGCTGTTTGTACACTACCCTGTGTGGGGGGTACTATTTAAGTGCACGCTTTTATTGTTATTATTGTATTGACTGTGGTACATACTGCTAATGATTTAACAGACCCAAATCATCATCATTTTCGTGTTAACATGGAAAGTAGTTGCTGCAAAAGCACGTTGAAATCATGTAACCAACTGTGAGCTTATGTGTTGTTGCCTTCAAAATACACAGTCACTACACTTTACAGTAAATTCTGCGAAGCACTTTGGAAAGTATTGATGACGTTGTAAGGAGCCATATCAAATGTAGGGACTATTAGTATTGTGATCTAGAAATAGCATACTCTTTGCCTTTTAGATGGTGATATTAGTGAAGAGACCTTAAAATTCTGTGGAGCCTATGATTGCCCACAGATATCCAACAACTTCAGTTCCAATATAACAGTTGAGCGGCCTTCCAACAGCACCATCTACACTCTTTTGGGGATTTACTCTGGTAAGTGACAATTACTATCAACAAATCTAACCTAGATTTCATAGGTGCTCTCAATTCTATATATTCTCTCATTTCCTTCTCTTTAAATTATATTCAGCTTTTACAATATAGTGATGGAGCATTGGAATGGCACAGTATACACCCTTGAGTCATGAGTTGTAGCTTTGATTATCATTGCAATGAGCTCCTCATAGCTCCGCATCTCAACTATGTGCCCTGAGATCAATATTGAGCTCTGGCTATGTAAGAGTCATAGGAACAGGACCACACAGCCCTCAAGCTCTGCATCAAGGCATCTGATACAAGAACTGCATTGCCAAAGGCCTGAGAACAGTTTGGCAGAGCTGCTAAGAACTTCATCACACTTAAACCTTCTATCTTAAAACATTGTCAACAACAGGAGTCTATCTTGATGCTGGAGTTGTGTGAGGGAGTGAGCAAACACTCTAAAAATAATGTACTCATCTCTCAGTGTTTCTTCAGTTGCTATTTCACCGAGCTGTCTCACACCCTCTCCAATTATTTTCACTTGTCCACAAGTGAGAGCTTATTGACCTTGCTATTGACTTAGTATTTTTGTACTGAAAGTTCATGTTCGATGAAGGTTGAGAACCACTGGCTCAGCAGAGCTGACATCGCAGCGTTTGTCCCTTTTTAGTTTGCGATATGTCTGTCTGGTAAATCCAGTAACTAACGAAAAAGAATCACATTACTAAATTACTTAAAACAACAAATTTAATTCATACAGCACCGTTTGCCTAAAAGACCCTTTCAAAGCAGTTAAGAAAGATAACCCCTGGTGTTCACATTGAACTGCTCTGTCACAATAAGAAAGATCATATTAGGTGATTTAAATTGCTTGTCCCATCTGCTAACTCGAGAGGGTATTAAAGGTCCATTGGCACAATTCTAAAACAGAAGGGGGTTTCTCCAAGTGTCCTGGCCAACAATCCTCCATAATAATTGGTTAAACAGTATATTTTGGGGGCAAAACGCAGCAGCCAGTTGCGCACAACAATACCCAACAAATAGCTATGGAATGGGTGACCAATTTTATTTGGTCTAGTTTAGAGTGACCAAGTTTATTTTATTTGAAACCCAAACTTTCCGACTCAGATGTGAGAGTGCTACCATTGAGGCAGACTGACACGCATGTTGTCTTGTAAAGATTTGTTCCTCCATGGAAGAAAATACGTACCTTCTAACTTCGTTCATTCAATTGTATCACTGCTTGCTGTGGTGTAGTGTTCTGTGTTGTAGTGATCTGATCTGCGGCTGGCTGCTCCAACACTGTTACCTTTGGCATTGTCCTCTCTATAGCTGTCGGGGTGCTTGCAGTAATTCTTGTTGCTGTGTTCCTGGATGAGCTTGATCAACAGGAGGTGAAGAGGTTTAGGGAGGAGAAGATATCAGTGTTGTCTGTGCTTCTGTCCACTGTGAAACATTTGCGTGACAAGCGACAGTGTCTGCTCATTTTGCTGACAATATACAGTGGTCTTGAACAGGGCTTCCTGTCAGGCGACTATACAAAGGTAAGAGCCTTTTGGTGCTTAGATCTCCTCAGTGCAATGAAGTAGCATCAGGTCTGGATTTAGCTCACTCTGCTGGGTGGCAAAGTATTTTGTTTCAATGTGAAGAATATAAAAATGGTTATAACAGTCTTACACAGATGTCTTTCTAAATTTTAAATCACTGGCTCTTTAATAATTTTGCTTTCATTCCAAAGAGATATCTGTAGCTGCTTTGAAGAGTTTTTGTGTGGGTTTAATTCCTACAACAGTCAGCTCCTAAAACACAAGTTGAACACTGCTAAATTTGCATTTGAGTAGATACTATCTGTGGTAATGAATAATCCTTCCATTCAGCATAGCACCTTTTACATCGCAGAACATCCCAAAGTGGAGAAAAGTTATACAGTCTAAATGTAGTCTATGTATATATTTATATTGTCTATATATTTAGCTACTAATATATTTATATTGATAATTATACAGTCTGATTTATATAAATTACATTGACAATGATATCAGAGAAAAATAATTGGCCAAAATTATCATTAGCTCCAGTAATCTCAGCCAAACAAACTTTGATTTCCATGTTGTGCAAGCTCGCTGTGAGGTAAAACGGATTCACTGGCAGGCAGAGAACACCTATTAAAGTGAAACAGGCAGAATCAGACATTGCTTGAAAATGATTCCTTGAATGCTGTACTGCATACAAGAAGATTAAAGAAGACTGTTAAAACATCAGACTCTCACATACCAAGACAAAATGTGTCAGCACATAATTAATGAATGCTGCCTAGTGATTGTGTGCGCTATGAGCTTTTTTTTTTACCATTGCCACTCTTGTAATGGGATATTCACAATCATGACTATTTCATAAAGTGGTGGGAACAGTGATACAACAGTCCTGAAAATTGCTCATGGTCTTAGCCTTAGGATTATTGTCTTGAAACACACAGTCAATACACTTTATCGTATAAATCTTTGTGAGATGTCCTCCTGATATGAATGGCTCTAAATCAAAATTAAACATTGTTTTTGTATTAATTTTGAAAAAGTCTTAAATTCAGTCTTAATTTGCAAGCTGTTTTCCTGCAGTTCCAAATCAAAGTCAGTGAATGTGAATGAATCTTACAAGCCAAACAGCATATTATAATTGTTTAACTACAGTAACATTGTGCTCACTTTTGGTGAATGCATGCATTATGCTTATATATTTCAATGATGTGCTCAGTGAAATATTTCATCAAGCACATCATTGAAATATTTGACCTAATGTCTCCACAAACCTGATGTACCATTAACCCCATTATATGTTTTTTTTCTCTCTACTTACAGTTTTATGTCACTTGTGCCCTGGGAATACAATATGTTGGTTATTCAATGATCTGCTTTGGTGCCAGTAATGCTATTTTCTCCTTTCTTTGCGGAAAACTTGCTCAATATATTGGGCGGATTGTACTGTATATACTTGGTGAGTGCAGCTGTACTTTCTTAGCAAAGGAAGTAATAATAAATAAATAATACTTTCATTTGACATAGCGCCTTTTCATGTTATTGAGGCATGTCAAAGCGCTTCACAGAATTATACATGTAAAATTATATATGTAAAGTGAATTGACTGTATTTTGTGGGCGAAATGCAGCAGCCATTGGCACACAGCAGTGTCCCACAAACAGTTGTGGATTGAGTAACCAAACTAGTATATTTTGAGGGGATTATTACCCCAGGAAAGTGATCTGCCAATCAACTGACAGCCCGGTTCCTACTAACGCTAGGTAAACAAAGGCATGTGGAGTAAGGAAACTTGCCTAAGGTTTCGCCCCACCTGGGAAGTAAGAATGAGAGGTGTGCCAATGTACTCCTTTATACGGTAGCTAAATTTACAGATGTTTCCTCAAAACAATCGGTGTTTGGGGGGATATTGATTATATTCTTGCATATGATATAGCACCTATTATGCTGAAAAGTCTCAAAATGCTTCATAAGTAATTACTATAAAGTAAAGTGACTATATTTGTAAGGGAACATACATTATATTGAATGTGCACACAGCAATGTGCCACAAACAGCCAATAGGTGAACGACCAATTGTTGCCCAGGGAAAAATCCATTCTCTTTTGAAGTAGTGTTATGGGATCTTCAATGTCCACCTGAACAAGCAGCTGGGATGTCAGATTAATGTATCACTAAAACTATTGCATTGGAGTGTCAGCCTAGACAAATGTATTTTTGTGTATCTGCTTGGTTCAGTTGGTGAACTCTCTAAGTCAGAATTCAACCCCATATTGGAACTTTGAATTCATATGGTCTAAGCTGACACTCTAATGCAAGGCTTGGGTTGTGCTGCATTGTTGGAGGTACTGTCCTTTGGATGAGACATTAAACTGTCTCCCATCTGCCTGGACGTTAAAGATCATATTGCACTATTCAAAAAGACAAGGGAATTTCTTCCATTATCCTAGCCAACAAATCCCCAAAGTAAAATTACTCATTTACTTTCATGGCTGCTTGTGGGACATTGCTATGCACAAATGTAGCTGCCTCGTTCAACTACACTTTACAATACATCAAGTGAAGCACTTTAGGATATTCTCCTGACATAAAAGGTGCTGTTTCAAATTTTAGGATTATTATTATTAAATATTCTAAAACTAATTTGACTCACTTTTTGCATTGAAAACAACATCACAGTGCATCTTAGAATCAATAGTGCCTTACATTTGCAGGTTTATCTTTATGTGCACATCAGCAAAAGTGAGCAAAAAGTAAACTGTGGGTGCAATGGAGGAGAGAGAAAAGTTTTGCGCATGTGAAGGTTTATTAGCACAACTGTGAACTGATAGCCAGCCAAAAAGATATAAGTGAGGGAGAGACAGAGATAGTTAGAAAACGAATGTCAAAGTCTGAAATGTTTTATTTGTTTGCTTGAAAAAAATATTGTAAAATATTTAGAGTAAATGCTTGTTTTCTATGAATTAAAAAGGGGATGCCTTTGAATTGTAACAAACTTCCCTTTTCCCCACAACAACTCCAAGGTTTGTCTCTACCTTAGATTCAATAAATACAGTACATGCTTAAAGGACTGACATGGGCCTTGTATCCAGATCAGAGGAGAGAGTGCTTATTTAATAATATTTGTTACCATATGTGTGAAAAATGTTGCTGTACACTGGTCTAAAGCCATTTTAATTTGTTTCTTGTTTCAGCAACTCTTACAAATGTGGCATTAATTATTGCATTGTTACTATGGAAACCACAGCCAGAGCAAATGCCTGTGTTTTTCGTGTTCCCTGGCATGTGGGGATTCGTTGATGCTGTTTGGCAGACTCAGACCAATGGTAAGTTATCAACGGGACGTCCTCCTGATGTGAAAGGCACCATCCATGTTGATAATTTCTTGTTATCAACATGGATGGTAGCAACAGTGGAAGTGTGAAAGAAAAATGCATCAGGTAAATTGTAATGGATATGAATGGATATAATGGATTAGATAGTCTGTCTCTCCATGATCTGTCCTGCAGTTGACCTGAATGGAGAGACTGACTATCTAATCTGAGGCTGGATTCCATGGTATTTTCCATTTCAAGCAACATACAGATGTGCCCAATGTAAAGATGTTTTATGGTGAGGATTTGTGAGTAGGCTTTTACAAAAACTAGACACACTGGTTTATAACAATCCTCAGTGTTAGAGTGATGAGCTATGGGCCACGATTAGACAAGCTCGTCAGTCTTGAGAGAAGGTGACTCAGAGGAGAACTCATAGAATTGTATTAAATTTTAAATGGGATTGAAAAAGTAAACCCAGAACAATACTTTAGGATGCATCAGTAGACGACGAGCTCATAAGTTTAGAGTTATAAAGGGCAATTTCAGGACAGATACCAGAATGTTTTTTTTTACTCAGTGGGTAATTAATGACTGGAACAGGTTGCCAGGAAGGATAGTTGAGGCCACTGGACTCATTTAAAAAGCAGCTTGTGATGAGGGAATGGTTAAGTGGGTGTTCTGGAGGGATGGATCGAAGAGCCTTCTTCATCCGAAAATCTTGTGATCTTGTGATTGTAGAGCAATGGCCTTTTGATCAAATATTCATGGTTGTAATTTCTAGCTTGAGCATTTATTGATTAAAAATACCTACATTAGTTGCTGAATTTGATAGTTCTTGCACATCATCTCACAGCTAAAGCAAGGAATTAGAGTTGGGAGAGCTCATTAGACAGAGTTCAGAGAACTATCTCAAAATTGGACAATCTTCAACTAATGGGAGATGTAATGGTGAGTGACGTTGAGAGGAGAAAATTGTGGCAGCAAAAAAGCATAAATAGAAAATGGAAAAGACTTCATAGAATCGTAGAAATTAACAGCGCAGAAGGAAGCTATTCGGCCCATCAAGTCAGCACTGGCTCTCAGAGCAAGCCACACTTTCAATCGCCCCTGCCCTATCCCAATTCCCCTTTAAGCCTCTAAATTTCAGATACCTCATTTCTTCCCTCTTGAAACCCGCAACGGACTGTGTCGGTTAAATATAAAATAAATAAGGAAAGCGATAAAAATATAATTCTAACCCTGGTTTATTGTGCTTTCTCCTTCAAGCTCTTTATGGAGATCTATTCAATAAGAACAAAGAAGCTGCCTTTGCTAACTACCGACTGTGGGAATCTGTGGGGTTTGTTATAGCATTCGCATCCAGTAACTATCTGTGTGTGTATGTCAAACTGAGTGTCTTACTGGTGGTGCTGGTGATCGGCATAATGCTGTATGGTGTTGTGGAGTATATTGAGTTCAAGAATTCCACTCCAGGTCTTGAGGAAAAAGAATCCATTCAGATGGGTGAGAAGTCTGAAGCTGCCGGCACAGATTATGTGGAACCCAAGATGAACATTGATGGAAGAGAAACTACAGCAGCAATTGAGGACTCTGCGTTTGTAAATCAGACAAAGCTATAGCAAAAGAATGCCCATTGACTTATATTGTTGCCTCAGTATGTAGGAAAGTCTGAGTTTTCTCAAAGGATAGTCTGTACATATTTCTTTAAGCAAATTAAAGCGTTTTTATTGTACAATTGGAGTTTGTGTATTTTTCTTACTATAATTTACTGTATTTTGTCTAAAATGGAAAAGCTAATCTTGTGTAGGATTTTAAATTAGTGACTATTCCCCATGGGAGGGAGTAAGGAGAGGGTGGAGACTCTCCATGTGGAATATAAACATTGGCAGGGGCTAGTTGGGCCATGTGGCTTGTTTTGGTGCTGTACAGTCTATATAAATCTGTCACCCTAAATTAACCATGTTTAATTTAACCTAATCATAATAATAATCCTTATATTTGATATAGCGCCTTATCATGTCCTTGATACCTCTCAAAGCGCTTCACAGAATATACTGTAAGGTGTAATGATTTGTGTGTTTTGTAGGCGAAACGCAACAGCCAATTGTGCACAGCAGTGTCCCACAACAGTCGTGAATTGAGTGACCACACTGTTATTCTTATTATTAATATATTGTGATATTTAGATTATTTCCAGTATTGTTTAACAATCAACTTCACCAAACAGAATATCTTGTGTTCCAATAATTGCAACCACATCAACTAACATGTGTCCCTGAGACATTTTGTCAAGTCTGGCCAAATGAGCAAAACTGGGCACTTTAATCTTACATCTACAATGGCGACTTGTTCCATCTGACACTAAATACACTTCAAACTCCCCCTTTGGTGCTTCAATCGCTGTGTAAGTGGCCCCGGGCGAAACTTGATAACCCGCCGATTAGAAATTAAAATGAGGGATTAAAGCTTCCATTGAAGCGAGACTTCATCGCACTTCTCTTGGGAGGGGAGATTTCAGGGTCATCGGCTTTGATCTCTCCCTCAGGCATCTTGTTCGGGACCTGAAGTACAATCCTCAAACTCTGCCTCATCTCCTCCATCCGACACACATAGCAGTCATAACAATCTCATTTACTTCCTATGGGGCCATCGAATTCCACCTGGTCATAGACAGAATAGGATTGAGATTTTCTTAAATCCCATTTTATCCCAGATCACCTTAACATCACGCACTGAATCCATACTTCAATGCTTCCTGACCTGTTATGACTCCAATATCAATAATAACTCTTGCGTTTGATATAGTGCCTTATCTGAAACACTATATCAAATGCAAGGATTATTATTATTATCATGTCTTTGAGACGTCTCAAAGCGCTTCACAGAATATACCGTAAAGTGAATTGATTGTATATTTTGTGGGCGAAACATGGCAGCCAATTGTGCACAGCAGTGTCCCAAAAACAGTCGTGGATTGAGTGACCAAATTTTTATTTAAGGAATTATTATCCCGGGAAAAGCAATCTGCCAAATGACTCACAATCGGGTTCCTACTTACGGCAAGGTAAACAAAGCATATGAAGTAAGAAAACTTGCTCAGTGTTTCACCCTGCCGGGAATCGAACCCTGGTCTTTTAATTGTGAGGCGAGTAATCTAACCATTGAGCTACAGGACTCCACTAGAGGACTTGTGTGATAGTCTGACTTTAATCGAGTTTGATAACTACCGTATAATGTACAAAATGTAAATAATTAAATCATAAATATTTTAGTGTCCTTTGTTATTTTAACTGCTAGTGGATCCCCAAGATGTATACGCATTTTAATTAGATAAACATTTGCAGGACAAGGGTATAATTCTTTTTTCTAATTTAGGCAGGTTGCAAATCAGGTAATAATAATAATAATAATAATCCTTGCATTTGATATATACATATTTTGTGAAGCGCTTTGAGGCTCTGCAACGATGTGATAAGACGTTACATCATATGCAAGGATTATTATTATCATCCAGGCACAGGCCAGGACACAGACAGCAGAGTTTGGCATCATTTGGACCTTGTTAAGAGTGGAGCTGCGGAGTCCGGTGAGGAGTGCATTGGAAACCCGTTCGCTTCTCACAGTGAGTTTGAGGAGTGAGGTGTGTCCCGGCCTGTGCTGTGTGGTCCAGCCTCCTCCCCTCCCCACCAGCCTGTAACCCAGAAACAACAACAACAACAACAACAACAACAAGATTCCATTTATAGAGCGCCTTTCACGTCGGGAGGACGTCCCAAGGCGCTGTGAGTGTTGAGCTGAGATTGTGACAGCAAAGAGTCCCTGTCTCCTAGCAACAGCAGAGATTGTTTGGAGCTGGAGACCCGGGGGGTGGGGGGTGATAGGAGCAGCAGAGCCTCCCTGTGGCTTAGATACAAACCTCCCTGTGACTGAGTGAGAACCTCTGGGTAACATAGCGAGAGACTCCCCGAGAGACGCTCTGTATCATGGAGAGAACCTGTCTGAAACCTGGACACAGGCTCTCTGTAACTAGAGAGAGAGACTCCCTGTAACACACAGAGAGACCCCCTGTAACACACAGAGAGACCCCCTGTAACACACAGAGAGACCCCCTGTAACACACAGAGAGACCCCCTGTAACACACAGAGAGACCCCCTGTAACACACAGAGAGACCCCCTGTAACACAGAGAGACCCCCTGTAACACACAGAGAGACTCCCTGTAACACAGAGAGAGACCCCCTGTAACACACAGAGAGACTCCCTGTAACACAGAGAGAGACCCCCTGTAACACAGAGAGACCCCTGTAACACACAGAGAGACTCCCTGTAACACAGAGAGAGACCCCCTGTAACACACAGAGAGACTCCCTCTAACACAGAGAGAGACCCCCTGTAACACAGAGAGAGACCCCCTGTAACACAGAGAGAGACTCCCTCTAACACACAGAGAGACTCCCTCTAACACAGAGAGAGACCCCCTGTAACACACAGAGAGACTCCCTTTAACTCAGAGAGAGACCCCCTGTAACACAGAGAGAGACTCCCTGTAACACAGAGAGAGACCCCCTTTAACATAGAGAGAGACTCCCTTTAACACAGAGAGAGACTCCCTTTAACACACAGAGAGACTCCCTGTAACACACAGAGAGACTCCCTGTAACACACAGAGAGACTCCCTTTAACATAGAGACTCCCTTTAACACAGAGAGAGACTCCCTTTAACATAGAGAGAGACTCCCTTTAACAGAGAGAGAGACTCCCTTTAACAGAGAGAGAGACTCCCTTTAAGACAGAGAGAGACTCCCTTTAACAGAGAGAGAGACTCCCTTTAACAGAGAGAGAGACTCCCTTTAAGACAGAGAGAGACTCCCTTTAACACAGAGAGACTCTGTAACTGGAGAGAGGACAGACTCCCTGTAACACAGAGATTCCCTGTAGCAAAGAAAGGAGAGGAGAGAGAGAGAGAGAGTTTCTGCTACAGAGAGAGACACTCCGTGTAAAGACTCCCAGAGAAAAGAGACACCCTCTCTGTAAAAGCAAGAGAGGTGGGTGGTGGGTGGGGGGAGATTCGCCTGTACAGGATCAGCCACAAGACTGGGGGAGATTCCCTGCCACAGGAGAGGCAGAGGAGCGACAGGTCTCCCTGCAACAGTCCTTTGCAAATGTGAGTGAAAAGTGCTTTTCCTTTGCATAGAGCAACACTGTCATAAGCTTTGACACCTCGTGTGTTGGTGGAGCTGAAGATGTTGCAGACAGGTTGCAGAATATTTCAGTTGGTAATTTGTTATGACAAATGAATGAATTCATAGAAAGTACAAGTCACTTTATGTTGGCCAGTTGGTTATCCTTTATTCCAGTAATTTCCAAGGTGTGTTTAGAATTTTGAAAAGAAGAATCAGGATCAGACATTGTTTTTTCTCTGTGAAGTAGAAAGCAATACTTTTAACCATTATTTTTGCCTTCCTCTTATTTTAATGCATCTGAATGGGTGTATATTGAGGAAGGTTATATTTCAGAGGAAATGGCCACACACGAGACACTCTATCTGGCACTAAACTAAAATAAGACATTTGAATGAATGCGAGCAAAACAAAATGTTGTGAAATAAAGTAAACTTCTGAAAACTCGTCACACCAAGGAAAAAGGGTCAGCGACAAGTTATCAGGATTGCCGAGTTAAACATATGTAAAAATACATAATTAAATGCGGCCAGGATATTGATAAGCATGATGACTTGACAAGTTAAGCCAGGGTTGAGTTATCAGGAGTTTACTGCAGTAAAATTAATAAAGTGAATCTCAAATAAGAAATGGGAAAATGCTCTTGATTTCTTCAATTCCGTGATCCCTTTTGCTTCTTTGTCACTTAATAGTTCTGCTATTTTGAAAATTGCATCAGATGCTATTACTGTTGCTGTGTGGGCTACGTCTGATTAACATAAAGTGCATGACCAAACTAAGGCGATTAGGAAATATTGTTGCAGAACCTGAGCTGAGCCAGCAATGAGCCAAACCAATGCCACACGTCGCAGTAAAATCTTGTGAAATGTTTTGGATGAGACATTAAACCGAGGTCCTGTCTGCTTTTTCAGGTCAATGTTAAAGATCCCATAGCCCTATTCGAAAAGAGAAGGGGGTTTCTCCCAGTCATGGCCAACAATCCCCCAAATAAAATAAAATTTTGGTCATTCACTTCATGGCAGTTTGTAGGACATTGCTTTGAGGAAAATGGCTGTCGGGTTCACCCAAAAAACACAGTTACTGCACTTTACAAAATATCCCGTGAAGTGCTTTCGGACATCTCTTGATGTGAACTGTGCTTCACCAAATGCAACCTTTAAAAATACAAGACGCCAGTGCCGTAGATACCAAGCTTTTGGAAGTTATTGGTCTATAGTGACTGGGCTACTTTTTTTCCCCAAAAAATTTCACTTGCCATCCATGGTGATAGCTGAGTAATAGTTGGATGAGTCTCTGTGGCCAGAGTTTGCTAAGTATGTTTGCTTATATATTTAGTTTGACTCAACACTATTGCTAAACTTTTTATTCTTTTGTTGTTAGTAACGCCTCATGATTACATTGGTTGTAAATTAAGGCAATATAAATACAAATGTTTTACATTTGTACTAAATGGATTTCAATTCTATTGAGTCACTAACTGGCTCAAGCCCAATGGGCAATTCATCCAAATGTCACCAAGAGGGAGGGGATGAGGCAGAACAATTTAGGGAGAGTTTCAGAAAGCAGAGGCAAGGTGGCTCACCAAGTGAGGCATGCAACATGCAGCAGGTTTGAGTTGGTGGACTGCAGGGAATGGGCAGACGAGTAGAACTACTGGAGATTGCAAAGATATGATGAGACATTTGAAGATTGGAATGAGAATACCAAAGTGACCACTGAGGAATGGGGAACGAGTAGAGCCTATGTGGTTGGGGACAATGGACGCACAGGATTTGTGGGGTAGAGAATGTCGGTTGTGGAGTTCTAGATGATCTGGAACTTGTATAGAGTGGAAATGGTGAGACTGACTAGCAGGACATTGGGGAAATCAAGGTTATCAAAAATAATCCTTGCATTTGATATAGCACCATATCATGCCATTGAGACATCTCAAAGCACTTCACAGGTTATACTGTAGAAAGTATTTTGTGGGCAAACATATTTTGCAGTCTTGTCAAACAACGCGGTATACTTATAACAATATATAACAATCCTTGCATTTGATATTGTGCCTTTTCAAATCTTTGAGATGTCTCAAAGCGCTTCACAGTATATACTGTAAAGTGAATTGACTGTTTATTTTGTGGACGAAACGGGGAGCCAATTGCACACAGCAGTGCCCCACAAACAGTCGTGGATTCTTTTTTTTAAAGGGATTTCTATCCCCAGAAAAGTGATCTACCAATCAACTAACAACTGGGTTCCCTCAGTCTCACCATTTCCACCCTACACAAGTTCCAGATCATTCAGAGTAAACAGAAGCATATGGAGTAAAACAGCCAATAAGGAAATTGCCTTCCAATAATTTATAAAAGCCAAATAATCTTCTCTATAACTATGTAGCAGTGAATAGAATTAGTATGGTAATTTGATACATTTGTGATGACAACTGGATAATGTTGAATATTAGGTTACCTGCCAATCATCGTATTTTGATTTATTTTCATTGTTCTGTGTGCTTTTAAAATAATAATATCCCCAATTCAAGTATGATATTGCTTTTAAGCACATTGTTTCCCATTGAAAGGTATTTGTTATTACTCCTTTTCTTCAATCCCAAGAACCATCACCAAATGAAATAACATACTACTGGATCTCTGCCAGTGCCACTACATAGCTCACTCCTAGGAGGTGTGGAGAGTATCCAAAATGGCTGTCCCAATTAATCACCACCCTTGGGAAGCACTAGGCTTTCTCTCTGTGCTTTCCCAAAGGCGGAATTGTAACCTCATCGACTGCAGAACTACAGGAGATCCAAAGAATTAGTCTCCCATATTCTCCCCACCACTTTTATTACTTTTTAAATATCTTTTTCTGAATCTTTTGGTTCCTCCTTCCCTTTTTCCCCAAACTATGTGCCATTCTCAGCAGCCTTCTTCTTAGCTCTTTGTTTATTTCCCTTAGTAATTTTCTTCATGGCTGTTTGTGGGACATTGCTGCGCACAAATTGACTTCTGCCTTCTCCTACGCAATCACAATACTTTACTGTAAATCCAGTGAAGCGCTTCGAGATGTCTTCACAACATGAAAGGCACTCTTATCAAATGTATGGATTGTTTTACTTATTGGTTATATAGCACAAGAGCTGGGTTGACATGCCTTCTGATGCATACTTTGCTATGGCACAGGATTTAACTCTTATATTCTAGCTAAGGCAATACCTAGTTTCTAGGTAAACTATTGAATTTCCATCACAGTTTAATTATACAATTTTACCTACTCAACAATAGGTGTAACTTGACCATATTCAGTGATGCTAATTTTGAGTGGGTCTAATATTGGAAGCTGCTTTATTAACGTGGAATTGCTGAGACTTTTCTCCTCCCATTTCTCTTAAGGTATGGTAAAAACTGCACAAAACAATGGCATATTACCCCAGCTCAGAAGATTTAACTAAGTCATTGGTCTTTCGTTTGCATGAAAATACTCCTGAAATAGTGAGGGAAGTTCTCCTGGATCGTGAATGGATTGAATATGATGGTGAAGAGCAAGAAAAAGGTGACTGGAATTTGTATTGGCGAACATCAGGTTTTACTGCTGTTGAATACCAAAACATAATGCCTTGGCAAAGGCTAAACCACCATCCCAAAACCATGGGCATAACTCGCAAAGACAACCTTGCTCGTAATTTGAAACGCATGTCTGGGGTTTTTGGTTCAGCATCCTATAACTTTAGCCCTGTGGGTTTCATTCTTCCCAATGATTACACTAAATTTGTTGCTGAGTACACCAAAGACAAGCAGGCCAATGGTGGGAAGGCTGGATATTGGATATGCAAGCCAGTCGATCTTTCCCGGGGCAGGGGGATATTTGTATTTAAAGATATTGAAGATTTGACATACAGTTGTTCAGTTATAGTGCAAAAGTACATTAGCAATCCTCTTCTCATTTCTGGTTACAAATTTGATTTGCGAATCTATGTTTGCGTTACCAGCTTTTGCCCACTGACAATTTATATATACCAAGAAGGTTTGGTGAGGTTTGGAACAGAAAAGTTTAATCTTATGAATTTAGACAACGTCTTCTCTCATTTAACAAACACCAGCATCAACAAATTTGGACCCTCTTACACTCTGGATAAAGAGCGGGTTGGCTCAGGGTGCAAATGGACTATGAGCCAGTTTCGATCCTTTCTGCAAGGTTTGAATATAAACGAACTTCTCCTGTGGCAGAGAATCAGTAACATAGTGACTTTAACCCTGCTCACAGTTACTTCATCCATTAAACCTCTACCTAACTGCTTTGAACTCTTTGGTTTTGACATCCTTATAGATGACAATATAAAACCATGGCTTTTAGAAGTAAACTGCAGCCCAGCATTAACAATCGAGTGCACTGCCGATGTGATTGTGAAGAAAGGGCTGGTATATGACCTTTTGGACCTGCTGAACTACAAAGACATTGATCCGTTGCGCTATCGTGGCTACCCAAGGCCACAGGATTACAATGTTTTTTCTTCCAGCAGCTGCCCTTCGTTTTGCGTCACAAATTCATATGGAAACCAATCTCCTCTTCACCCTAGGACATCTAAGAAAGGAAACGCCACCTGTTCTAAAGAAGCCTGGTCCAGTTCTCAGAACCACTCACTATTGCTCTGCCGCAGAAGCTGCAATCAGTCCAGTGTATGCAACCAAAGCCCCACAAGTGAGGAGCAGAAGGTTGACACCCAAAAACTAGAGAAAGAAAATAAAAATCCCACCAGTTGTAAACCCCGGCTCACTTTTTTCCAGTGCACAGTTTCAGATGACTTTGGGATCATTTACAAAAAGGTTAGCGCTCTCCCAGCTGTGCAGTGGGCGGAGAAGAGAACTGCAACAAATGCAAAAGTCCCCAACTCACTGCCGAAGAATACGTTGACCTCCCGGTTGAGAGAGAAGATGAACAAGGGTATTGGGGGAGAGAATATCCCACCCAAGTTAAAGGATCTGCCAAAGAACAGAGGAACTATGGTACAGAATCCCAAAAGGCAGGCTACAAAAACCATCCCACGATTCCCCTCCGTTAAAGTGCAGAAGTACAAGCATACATCTTTTCCTCAGTACAGCATTTCGGAGTTTGACAAGAAGCCCCTATCTCGCATAGGAGACTTCATACTTACCTTTCCATTTAATGAAGCTACGCTAAAGTCTTCTCAGAGCATTCTAGACCTAAAGACTGTAATGCAGGAAATGCAGAAAATGCTGAAGAGACAGTTGGCCCAGGAGCACAGGAGCCCGAAACGAAAGAAAAGTGAGGCAACTGCAGATATCACTTACAGTCGAAAAGAATCTATTGCTCCTTTGCTCTGGGGACCTCGCAACCCCCCATTGCTTAGTGACTGCTGCTATCAAGTCTAAGTCATTCAATCATATTAACGCCTACTACTTTCGTTCAATAAAACAATAATCCTTAACAATGCATCAGAGGAATAAAAACTTTGTTCTAAGGAAAGAACTAAGGCTTTTTTTTAAAAAAAATACAAATACTGGTATTGGTCTAATTTATTTTTCTTGGGAAATAGTAATGTTTTGGGTGTTGGTAAGGAACCAGGTGGCACAGGTGAAGTTGATTTCTTTCTTTAAAAAAGTCAAATCTAAATCTGCATCAATATGATATCACAAAAAAATGGTAAATAGGAATGAGTATAGTGCATTTTAGTTGTTGGGTGATACTAGGACATTACCTGTTTCTTATTTACGAGAGGACTGATTGCTGTGGTGATGCTTTTGGAAAATATTTTTGTTGTTCTAGCATTGCAACAATCAAATCGGGAAAACATGTGTAAGTAAACCTTTGCTGCTTTATGTACTTATATAGCTTGGACAGCCCTTCTGTTCCATTTTACGTATGAAATGCCTTTTAATAAAATTATTTTCTGCTCTCAAGCTGTATATTGCTTATCATTATTTTGCGCAATCTTGTTCATCAATCTACGACTTCCTCTCAGGGGATTTAAAATAAATGATCTTTACCATCCATTATCTATTGTTGTTAAGTGGAGTCCTCTAGCACAGTGGTTAGAGCACTCGCTTTGCAAGTGAGAGACCTGAGTTCAATTCCAGGCAGGGCGAAACCTTGGGCAAGTCTCCTTACTCCACACGGCTAATAATAATCCCTCCAAAAAACCAAAAAAAAACCAATAATAAATTGGTCATTTTCAATCTACGACTGTTTGTGGGACATTGCTGTGCGCAATTGGCTGCCGCGTTCGCCCACAAATATACAGTCAATTCACTTTACAGTGTGTTCTGTGAAGCGCTTTAGGACGTCCTCCCGACGTGAAAAGCGCTATATCAAATGCAAGGATTATTATTATTATTAAGTGTCAGCCTGGCTGAGTTGGTAGCATTCTCGTCACTGATTCAGAAGGTTGTGGGTTCAAGTCCCTTATCGCTGGGGGTGAGCTGCATTGTCAGAGGTGCTGTCTTTCGGATAAGATGTTAAACTGAGGCCATGTCTGCCTTATCAGGTGGATATTACAGATTCCTTGACACTATTTAAAAAGAGAATCGGGACTCTCCTGATATCCCGGCCAGCAATCCTCCAAGAATAAGTTTCTTTGCGTCTACAGAAAATACTGACAATATAATTGGTCACATGGACACATAGGGTATTTTCTGGTCCTGTACACTTATATGATCCTGTCTTCTGATTGCTGTAACAGGAAGATGATCAGTTTGGTATTCTGGAACCATGAGGTCAAATGAGCTGAAGAGCTTTCTTCATTTGCAAGTCTCTGCTCATCTATATTTACAATATAAACCTCATGTTATCCTTGACTGGTTCAGATAAAGTTAGAGACATTCAGACACTCCCCCTGGGAAAGACTTTCAAAACAGTTACAATCTGCCATATCAAACATGTCCAAGTTGTGTGGGCTTGAAATGTGCTGTATCATTTACTCAAGATCACAGTTAAGAGCTGTTTTCCAGTCAAACAGATTTAGGTCTACATTAGCCATAGGCTCATAGGTTGACTGGATCCACATATAGAGCAATACTTTCAAGCCTCGTATTAAAACTGGAGGTTTAGTTGGTGATTTAATGTTAAGGCTTTCAGAAACTGACAAATCTAGAAGTACAATACCAATAATGGATTCTGTTGGTTGCTGGGGAGTTCAACATAGTTACTTCATCTCCTCTAATGCAACTGGGATTAATGCCTCACACCAGAGAGCAAATTAATTTCATGAATAATCATGAAACTGGTTGGCATTGTCCTGAGAGACAATAATTATGAGAATTGAGCCTTTATAATAATGATCCTTGCATTTGATATTACGCTTTTCACATCTTCTAGACATCCCAAAGTGCTTCACAGAATATACTGTAAAGTGAATTGACTGTATAATTGTGGGCGAACGTGACAGCCAATTGCACACAGCAATGTCCCACAAACAGTCATGGATTGAAAATGATCCATTTATTATTGTTTTGTTTTTTTAGAGGGATTATTATTAGGCGTGTGGAGTAAGGAAACTTGCCCAAGGTTTCACTCTGCCTGGAATTGAACTCAGTTCTCTCACTTGCAAAGCGAGTGCTCTAACCACTGAGCTACATCTTTGAGGCCAGTCTTCACTGTTCGAATGATGATCTTGGACAAGTCAGTAAATCCGTCCGCTTCTGAGATAACAGGCACACTCCTGCAAAAAGAACATAACCTCAGCAAAATTAGAAAGAAACAGAATTTATTTCTTCTACCTTGCTTCCTCTGCTCTTTCAGTAGCTTAGAGAGGAATCAAGTGCATATTGTCAAATCCAAATGAGCCATGAGTTATTCCCACTGAATACAGGCTGCTCTCCCAAATAACAGCGAGTTTGGCATAATTTCATGCTTTAGTATGTTTACTGTATAAAGGTTATGACCAAACCAAATAATTTAACATAGAGCAACATCTTATCAGAGCATTCAATTTCCATAACCCATATTTTGCGAATGCTTTAGACACATTACATCATCAAATAATCTACTTTGGTCTTTTAAAAAAAAGTCACTGCACTTTACAGTATATGCTTTGAAGTGCTTTGGGATGTTCTCCCGACATGAAAGTCTCTGTACCAAATGTAAGGATTATTATTATAAATAACAATAAAATCACCTTACATGCTGAAAACAACATTCAAACGTTCAAGGACTGGAGCTTTTTATCAAAATTCAACATTCAATATATTTTAAGATCTTATCTGCAAGATTGAGGCCTGAACACTCTGAATCTTGATTTGTATTGGCTAAACTATGTGAGACATGTCTCTTTTTGAGAGTAATGGATTTTGAAAGGACTTGCCATTGAAGTGATTCAGACCCCAAACTCATATTGATCCATCCAGCTGCCTTTTGAACAAGTGAAAATATAATCTGGTAAATGATTCAAGAAGAACCAGCACTATTATAGGATTTAATTTGAATAAGACACTTCATGTTAAGTGAAACATAACTTAAAGGACAAATCATTTCTGTTTACACCACACTGTATATGATTAGGAATTTTATTCCGAACACTTTGCATCTTTAATATTTACAGTTAGACAGATTAAGTTACACTTTAGAGACAAAAATGCATTATATATAAATCAAATTGAGTTATGTTAATCCATATTTATACAGTTGAAATAGAATTTTTTAATTTTCTACAAAAAGCTGCCAAATGCTGTACAGCATGTTTTTTTTTAGAAAAAACAGAATTAAAATCCCTGGAGAGAACTGTGCATTTTGTGTTTGTGTTTTATAAAATGCATGTAGGGGAATAATGTTTTGTCCACAAAATAAACAGCCAATCCACTTCACGATATATTCTCTGAAGCACTTAAACAATAAGCAATAAACCTGAATTGTTTCATTTTCCAGGAACTTGCTCAGTTCATCTTTGAAGCCCTTTGAGGATCCTTGTTTCAAAATTGTCATCAAGTTTCCCCCATAACAGAAGCAAGGTGTTTCAATTTATTTTTGTTTCTCTTCAATCTTACACTGAAGACACAAACCACACAGCATGGTATGAAACCAAAATCTACTCGTTACTTTTTATCAAGAATAATATTTCCCTCGATGTCTTTTATTCGGACACGACCCGTTGAGTACTTTGTTTCCTGTCGCCCATTGGAATACACTGTCTTCAGAGTCCCATCGGGGTATTCCCTCCGCTTGTACTGTGACGTGTGGATCTCCCGCTGCCCGTTAGTAAATTTGATAATTTTATCTCCGTTTCTGAGAAAAAAGCACAGGTTCAATATCTGTTTGGACACAGACCTCATCAGGTGCTATATAAATGCAATTTGTTATAGTTTGAAAATGTATCTCATGACCTCTAGAGCTGAACACCATATTTGGGGCTCCAGAAAATCCCTACCATAATGATCACATGTCCGGTGACCAGAAGCCGTACAGTCGGTTTCCTGCCGCCTGAAAAATGGCCAACTTCTGGGTCATCAAGTTGCCACCGAAATCATTTTCCTGCATCTTGTGCACAACACCATGTGCAGTCAAGTGCAGTGGCAACCTTATGACTGAGGAGTTGGCTATCTTTTGGCCAGTTGACGTGCAGGAAGTCGGTCAGTCCATGGACTCAGGCCAAACACGAGTTAACAGGGCACCCACATTAGAAGCGAACCAGAGTTACAAGGGGATTCTATTATGCTGAATCTCTTCCCCAAGCATGGAATTTCCGAAGGAAAAGGCAGCTCTACTGAAACCCCATAGAAATTATATATTTAAGGAATTCTTTCCCATAGTCATACTAGAGGATAGCGTATAGGAATTTATGTTACATATCAGAGCTTTGCAATGTGAGCTGCATTCCAACCTTGGACCCACAGCTGATAGGGCAGAACTTTAACATACTGCAGTAATAATGGTAACTAATAATATTTGTAGTTCATAAGAAGCTTTATCACAATGTAACTTCTCAAAGAACGGTTCCCAATAAGTTACATTGAAGAAGCACAGTGAATATCGTTGGACAAGCAACAACAAAAATCTGTGCAGACAACATCTCAAAAAGAAAACTGAGATGGACAAGGTGGTTTTTTTGTTTTGGGTGAGGGAGAAATGTTAGTCTGGACATTAGGAAACCTCCCTCCTCTTCTTGGAAACAGTGCACGAGATAATCTTTAAAGTTCACTTGAACCATCTGAACTAGAACCATAGAAATTTACAGCACAGAAGAAGGCCATTCGGCCCAACTGATATAAGGAACCTCAGTTTGATGTCCAAAGGAGGTACTTTGTCTAACATCTCAATTTATTATTTGTAATGAATCAATCCATTTCCTTTTGACAAGCGTTAATATTACAATTATTTAATTCTTTATTTGCTCAGGGCAGTGAAGGGTAAAAGCACTCACGTTTGTAGAGTCACAACCGTACCATCTGGAAAGACGCTCTGTTCTTGGCCATCAGGAAACAAATATTTGACTGTTTGGTCAGGAAATCTTATTTCCTTTTTACCATCTGGGTGATGCTTTTCTAAATCATAAACAAATGCAGGTGGGAAACATTATTAAATATTTAAACGAATTGACAAATACACAAATTTATGCAAATTAGGGACTGGCATAAGATTATTATATTATTGTTATATTATTATTATATTATTATTATTTATTATTATAAATTCTCACCATTTTATAAGTGAGTTTTTAACATGTGCTCAAAACCTTTTGCTTGTTTCTAAAAATATTATCCCAAGACACTTAGTGTTCAACATGAGGTTTATGCCCATGTTTAACCATTGTATAAACAGCTTGTATAATAACTGGTGTTCCCATTGGCTTGGATTTTGAAAGGAGCATTTGGAAATTCTTCATTTAATTTAATCTATTAATAATTATTAATAATTATTATATATAAATATGCTGCCTAAATGCGCACAGTACTATAAATATGAGCTGCCTTTTGATTTCAATTGCCATTCCGTTGCATGATCTGTGTTCATGCAACATATCCATGTAAATAAAGGAGTGAAAATTCCACTCGACTCTTTGGTTCACTCTATTTCTTAGCATTTCAGAGCCCACAGAATTTTGAAAGAGTTGTAATTTTGAAGCTGTTTTCCTGTATGTTTTTTTTAAATACTGAAGAAAAACAGCTTCAAAAGTTAGGATGGAATTCAACAACTTGCCAAATTTGCCGCTCTTTGAAATGCTGCACAAATAGAGTAAATCTAAATCCAGGTGAAATTTCTCCCCAATAGTTCTCTATTCATTGTGAACTACTGAAAAAATAATGTATACATAATCTATCCTGAATCACCTTGTCAAAGATCTGGATGTTGCATTAGGGGATTTATAATCTAATTAAATCAGCCTTTGCCTTATGCTTTAATTCCCAGTTTCTTTTAGCCAACATAAGCAACAACTGCTTTATTCACTGGATCTTTATGGCAACACCCACCTATTTGGCTGTTAGGGAAGTGCAATACCTCCATTCCATTTGGGTATGTGGTGTGTGTGGTCTTTGCATCAGCATAGTAGTAAATCTGCAAAAGTTCACAACACGTAACGTGCCTTGTTAAGCAATCATTTTTTTTATAATTCGGGATTTTATAACTGATTCTGCCCTGACATAGCTTGGAAATATCAGGTGTGAACGTCCTCATGATAATTCATACAAGGAACCTCAGTTTGATGTCCAAAGGAGGTACCTTGGCTAACATCTCAATTTATTATTTGTAATGAATCAATCCATTTACTTTTGACAAGCATTAATATTACAATTATTTAAGCACACCACCATTCTTTATTTGTTCAGGGCAGGAGAGGAAAAAAGCACTCAGGTTTACAGAGTCACAACGAGACCATTTTGCCTTCAAATTTAAGACCGTACAGAGTAGAGGAACATTCCTAAATCAGCCTTCACTTGGAAGTCAGTTTTCTGCAATGTTTGAAAAGATCCAGTTTTGAAATTAAGGTTTATTTTAAGAATTTTCTATGATTCTGCACACTTAAATTTTAAGACAAAATGATCTTATTGGCTAAGACTTGACAGAATTTCAGGCCTTTAATACACAATAGGTAATTGCATACAGTGGTTAAAAATAAAGTTTGTCTCAATAGCTGCACCAATTGTCTTTGGGGAAAGTGCTTGAATGCAGTTGGAGAGATGTTCTCATATGACAATTATCAAGTGGAACATTTATTTCTTGGACAGTAAAAGCTTCTAGTGAGCAGCCTCCTGTGACTACCTGAGGTTGGTGAACACTATTGCAGTATTGGTTGGTGAATAATGTAGCAAACTATTGCAGATATTCACCAAACTGGATGTCCACCGGATTCCTTGGTCCCTGCTCTGCAAAACAGAGAGGGAGAACTCACTCCTTATTATCTTCAACTCGGGGTGTAACTACCCAAACTCCTAAAGTTTCAAACTACACATAGTACAGGCTGGCTCATTAATGCTATCTGACTACATAATATATCTCATTTTTTAATATCCATTATCACAATATCTATCAGTTCTTCAAATAAGATAGTCTGAGGATCCCGAGCATTTGCAAGCTGTGATCAACATCAGGAGAAATAAATCCCTTGGGACGTACTCCCGACGTGAAACGCGTTATACAAATATAATTTTGTTATTGTTGTAAATCAACTGAAAGCAACCCATTCAGAGCAATATCCAGAAGGACCAAAGGAACATTTTTTCTAGTCAAGCTGTGTATCCTGATCAGTAACTTATGCCAGAAAGACTGCGTATTTTTTATAAAATAATAATAATCCTTGCATTTGATATTGCACTTTTCATGTCTTCGAGATGTCTTAAAACGCTTCACAGCTTGTACTGTAAAGTGAATTGACTGTATATTTATGGGTGAAACTCGGCAGCCAATTGCAGATCTTGGAGTCACACAAAAGAATCACCGTCATTCTTCCAACAATATTGAATGCAAGGATTATTATCATTATAAAGATGGATCAAGTAGCTTCTTATATGGTGGAGTTAATAAAGCGTATTCAGTGGTGTTTTTATAATAAGAGTCCTTGCATTTGATATAGCGCTTTATGACTTCATCGGAACATCTCAAAGAGCTTCACAGGATTTACTGTAAAGTGCACTGACTGTATTTGCAGGTAAACATGGCAGCCAACTTGCACATAGCAATATCGCATAAACAGCCATGAAGTGAATGATCAATTTTATGCTCTGGAAAACATACACAATGGATGACTCAGCCATTAAACCATTATGTCTGCCCACAAGGGTCTGATATTTATCGCCACATGTCTCACGAGTTACGGTGGAGACAACAGAGTCTAACAAGCAGTTTAAACATAGAAATTCCTAAAGTATTTAATATAAGTTACCCAGATGTGTGCTAATCACAACAGCTGAATATTTTGCTGAATAAAATGCTGTGATCCTGTTAATTGTCAGTCAAAAGCCACGATCCATAAGCTGAAATCCGTATGTGATCTGACTTCATGGACATTGACATAGCGAGCAGTGTGGGGAGGGGTGTTCCACCATAACTACATAATTTATATTCAATACTTTAACAGTTTCTAAACAAATCAAATGCTAGATACACCCATATATAATTTTTATACCTGCCAATTTTAAGTTAGATTGGAAATTATTTTTCTAATTTACTCCCCACTGGCAATATGTCTCACTGCTCCTTATCCAGCCTTCACTTGCTGGGGTGGAACTCCATGGGGATTAGATGCCCTCTGGTACGTCACTCAAGTGACCACTGTTCACGTGTGAGACGTGGCAGTGAGTGTTGGCAGGCCATTCATTTGTAAAGGCTGTCACACAACAAGGTTGACCTCCCTCCAGTCAGTGCCACACATGGAAACAACCAGCAGAGGGTGCTGCAGAGGAATCAGGAAGAGGAATCATTTTGTTTTGGTCAGCCTGGTGACTGTCACACGTGGAAACCCATCCCCATGCTTAAGAGTATCCAAACCAAGCTGGGATTTCTATGCATCCCACCGACACATGGAAATTCCACATGAGATTGTTGGAATAGAATGTACACTCTCTCCCTGGAGGGACAAATCCTGGTACCTAATCCTGGAAAGTATTAGGCACAGTTTGGCAAGAGCCAAGGCTCGGAGATCCCAGAGTGTTTGTGGGGAGTCTAACCAACTAAAACCGCATAGCTAGTCATTAATATTGCTCTCTGCCAGGCTTTGCCACTGCTTATCCAGCTAGAACCACCCTACCAGTTAGGTCTGCAGGGTTAACAGGAACCGAATGGGATAACTCCCTCCCAAGTGAATGGTCTGTCCTTCCAGGTCCTGCCGATGAGCCAGGCTGGCTGTATTGCCATCAGCAGAGCCCTGGAATACTGCGGATCCACCTGGCTCAGGAACCGGACTACCGAGACCACCACAGAGGGCTGGCTCGATTCCGACATTCTGTTGCCAGGCATGTCACCTTGGAATCCTGGATGGCTCTAACCCTGGGGAGTTCTGGACCAATTTAGCCTCCCTATGCTGCCCCAGCTGAGACAAGCAAACTCAACACAAATCAGGATACGAGCCAGAAAGCTCCATAATCTGTCAACTGCTGAACTATCACTCTCCCATTGACGAGACCCCTGGAAAATGATATTAAGAACATTTCTTCCAAGGGGTGATAGGGTCCTTTTGACTCCGGCACTCACTCATAATGCACGGTGACAGAAAGTAACTGTTGTAGACAGAGTAAGGCTACACTTACCACTTTCTGGTCTGGTGTGAATTGTTTCACATCCCCATTGAAGAATGTGACAGTGACAGACTGGCCATCTGCACTGATCTCCTTTCTCGTGCCATTGCGGAAAGTGATGATTCGACATCCATTTACCAGTATCTGTTCCAGCTGGCAGCACAGAAACACAACACACAACACTTTAAGGCAAGTCAAAGCAGACACATGATCACTGTAGCATAATAAGTATTCAATGTACCTTTCAATTTTCATGACTGCACATCACCCATTGATTTTGTAACTGAATCTTGCATCAATTATTCAAGTGCGCAAATAGCCTGATACAAGAAACTATTGTAAAGATAGAACCATTTCCTCGTTCAATTTGAATTTAATATCTTGCAAATAACATGCTACCATTACTCTAAATAACTCCCAATCTCATTCAGACCACACAAAAGTTACAAACCTCTAAATGCCTCTATTCCCAGTTAAGAAAAATAAGTACGAAAAATCCACTGACTTTTCAGTTTTTTTCATTCAAACTCAGTCTTCAGTGAAACTGAAATTGAAATGGCTGAATCCAGCTTTTGCACAATTACACAATTTCTGACACTGGGTACACACCAGATAATTTCTGAGTACCAGATAATCAACAACAACAACAACAAGATTACATTTGTATAGCGCCTTTCACGTCGGGAGGAAGTCCCAAGGCGCTGGACAGTCTACAGCATTTCAGACACTAGCTGGGGTCAGTGGGGGAGGGAGGGGGGAAGGGAAGGGAGGGCAGTGAGGTGGCCGATGGCATGGTCGAAGAGGAGGGTTTTGAGGCAGCACTTGAAGAAAGCTAAGGAGGGGGTGAGGCGGAGTAATTGGAGGGTGTAATTCCAGAGGTTGGGGGCAGAGTGGCTGAAGGCTCTCCCACCAATGGTGGGGCGGGTGGGTCAGGGGATGTGGAGCAGGCCAGAGCCGGCTGAGCGGGCGGGTTGGAAGGGGTTTAGGAGGTCACAGGGGTAGGGTGGGGCGAGGCCATGGAGGGCTTTGTAAGTGAAGACCGGAATCTTGAACTGGATCCTTTGAAGGATAGGGAGTCAGTGGAGTCGGGTGAGAGTGGGGGAGATGGGGTCACGGAGTTTGGTGCGGGAGAAGCTGCAGAGTTCTGGATTATCTGCAGCCTGTGGAGGGAGGAGTTGGGAAGGCAGACAATCACTTTATCATTGATGATTCTGTCAATTATAACTAAGAGGTAGGCTTGCCTTGATTGGTAAATAATAATATTTGTTCTTTTTTGTGATGTTCCGCTATCCGGTGCAAATACACTTTCATCAATAAAAGCTGCTTTTTTATCGTTATTTTGACAACAAAAAGGGCCAAATTCGAGATTGTTAAGCTACCATTGACATCACTTCCTGTGTGTGTCGCATGTGATCTCTGCAAAGAGTGCCACTGATGTCACTTCCGGCGTGAGGTGACGCCATCTTTCAGATAGCCCCCCTCCACCGCACGTATGAAGCGAGTCAGCAGTTTTTGGCGTCAAAAAAAATTAATAACAGTCAGTAAAAATGTAATAATAATTGAAAACAATCATCGATATTTTCTGACAAAAATCAGAGAAAAAAAATTAATTTCCACATAGACCTGTTTTACAGGGGTGAAAAATGTGATGGGAGAATTGGTCATTTTCAGTTATCATTATCACATCGACACAAATTGTGGTCAAACCAGTTGATAAGTTAGGAACTGGCTGCGAAGCTGAAACCCACCAGTGACTTCAGCACAGTGAGTGGGGCTGAAGTCAGCCTGAGGATTTCAGTGACCACCATCATGTTGACCCTCGAGCACAGCTTAAAGGTGAAATAAAGCTGACACCAATCCAGCATGATCTAGTTGGGCTGAATGACCTGTTTCCGTGCTTTAACATTCGATGTAAAGTGGAACTCATAAGCAACAATCAGGCCAACTACAGACCCAACCTTTGCACTAAAGTTAGAGGATAAGAACTAATTCCAAAATCTCCCTTCTCCACCAAATCAGGAACTAGAGGATTAAGTCCACAATATATGTTCTTTAGTCACTGACTCACTGATCACTGGAAGCAATCTATTTCTTTCATTAAAACCAGTCATAATTTTTAATCTTCAATCAAATCCTAATAAAACAATATAATTTATTTCTGTGAAGACTACATATAACATAGGTCAATTACCTTGCCATCTGGATACTGTATTTCCTCTTGGACATCTTCATTTGTAATGATACTCTTAGAAGAAATAGATTCTCTCCTTGATAAGGCAGAGTGTGGCCGCATACTCTGAAATATCAAAAACAGTCGTCACAGCTAGGCGGGAAACCTCACCAGTCACAAGAGTAGACATCTCACACGTAACAAACAAAAACTGAGCTCTACTGAAAATGTTATAGAGAGAAGTTACACCTCTGATTGGGGCATGTCGCTGCCATTTTAAAGCTCAGGTAGATAAAATTGGTCACTCACATCATGGCGATCATGCGGAACATTCTTGCGCTCAAATTGGCTGCCACCTATACCTACATAATACAAGTTACTCTATCTTACAGTAAATCCTATAAGTGCTTTGAGACATTTTGATGACCTGATAATGTGCTACATCAAATGCAAGGATTATTATTCGTTAACTAATAATATTTGTTATCTAACCAAAGAATGTGGCTCAGAGCATACTGCTTAACTCGAACAAAAAGTATAAACCTTCTGCTCAAGGTCGAAGGTCAGTTGTTTCCGATCCACTGGTGTCCTCCGCCCAACTGGGGTCGCACTGCGACTTCTACATCCGATAGGAGGCTTCTCTCGACATCTGGTCACCGTCTCCGCTGTGCTCCTCTGCAAAGCAGTGTTCAAGGGGTTAACAATCTAAGGAAGCATTACTTTACATAGAAGGTTGTGAAGAGGTGGACTGCTCTGCCCCAGAAAGCGGAAAATGCGAAATCAATAGGGTTGTTTGAAAGAGATAGCGATTTGGCTATTAGAGGGAGAACAATGTATTGTGACGGTCGGGACATTGGGATTAAAAGATCTGACAAGGTCTCCTAACTGGTAGAACAGGCTTGCTAGGTTGAATGGACTTCTGTTCCTATCGTCCTTTGTATCTATGTAAACACTGTAATTGCTAAATGCAATAAATATACTTCATTTAGTTCAGGAACGAAAAATAAGGTGGAAAAAAAAATCTTTAATTATTTTGTGTCCCGAGCAATTATTACATGTAAAAAACTGCTAATTGGAGTGTCAGAGTCTGAGATTCACTACAACACTGAGCGTTAGAAAGGAAAATACTTTTTTTTAAAGAAAATTAGAACTGCTATTAACATTTACTCAGCACAATGAACACTACAGTACAAAATTCACTACCATGACTTAGAAACCAAGTGCTTTATATTCAGTCACCAAATAATTTAAATGAACTTTGAAACAGTATAATTCTCTGAGCCAGGTGTTATGAAATGAAATGCAAGGATTATTATGTGCTCACAGTTCTGCTGGTCTCAGTCACTGGCAGTTTAGCAGCAGCCCTGGGAGTCCTAGCAGAGGGCACATCCTCGACCATTTGCTCAATGGAGTGCGCTGGCATGTGAAGAACATCCTCTGAACTGCCTGAATTGGAAGACGACTGGGGGCCTAGGAGAGGAAAGAACTGGTGTCAATAATTTCTAGAACAAACACGGTTTAAGATAAACTTACTTTATCTGGAGTCAAACTAGAGTAAGTGGTTCTTACCCCTGGCATGGAGAGTGGAATTTGTTTCTGGGAACACACTGAGATTTAAGCTGGGCACAGGAGACTTTCGGTCATGCCCTCTTTGACGAGCTGAATTGGCTCTCTGAATGCTCTAGAATCAGACAACCATAAAGGTGGAAGTGGGAAGTGAGATCATTTCCAACAGTGCTGCTTTCTTTCATTTCTCTTTCCCTGAACTCTTTCCTTATAGATCCCCCATTTCATTTCATCTTCCCTCAGTTAGAGAATGGGAAGTCATTTGTTCCCAGACCTCCGACAACACTGCTTTGGAGTCATCCACTGAGAAATTTGTGAGATAAGCCCAGTATCCAGCACCTTAGGACGTCCTCCCGACGTGAAAGGTGTTATACAAATGTAATTTTATATTGTATTGCATCATTTAGCCTTACTTTCCCTCCTTGTATAAAATTTACTTCACCTTCACATAGCACCTCACAGAACAAGAGTTAAGATCTAAAGGAATGAGCTATGAGGAAAAGTTCCACAAGTTAGGGCTCTTGAGCCTTGAAAAGAGGCATCTCTGAGAGGCCTTTGGACAGGTATACAAGATGCTAAATGGGATTGAGAAAGTAAAACTTTCAGGTATGCCAAGGCAGACTCAAGAGGATTCAAGGTTGTTAAATTGCCATAAGGAGTCTAAACAACAGCCTTACAGAATTAAGTTAAACCCTAGAAACTTTGTTGGCAGTAGCAATATTGAAGGTCAAGATCATCTACAACAATTACAATAATGGGGGTGGACAATAGACATGACAAGAGTCATACTCTCCTCTCTTCCACATCCTACAGCTACCCATTGCCACTCTTCCATTCAGATTGTACAGTGCACAGCAACACCAGCTAAATCCTGCCAAGATACTTTAGGTGTAAACTCGTAGTGTATGTGTGAAGTCAGATGTCCTTCTATGGATCAATGGCTAATGCTTACCATCTCGAGATCAGGTGTTGATCTGTTCTGGAAGAGCCTTCTCCGTTCGGTTGGAGTTGCACTTCGGGTTTGTAAACGGGACAGAAACCCTTTCCTGGATTTCTCTCATCTCCTTTTCTGGGCTTCAAGCTTTACCTCTGCTTTCCCCCCAGCCTGTAAGACATGTAAAGATCCTTTACATGTGAGGTGCTATGAGGTCCCCAAAGAGAAAGTTACATTCTGTAGCTCCATAGACAACTTATCCACTTAAGAAGCTCCCTCGATTCTGTCTCTTTCAACATTGTATGCACCTATCCCTGCCAATCTCCAGTATGCACTATAACAAATGCTTTGCTAACTTGTATAATATATAATCATTCACTGAGTTTCATTATTCAAAGAACTCCAGCAAATTTGTCAGATACGATCTCCCTCCATAAGGCTACGCTCAAAGTCCCTGTTACAATTCTCTATTCTCTAGGCATGTCACCATTCACTCCTTCACAATACCTTCCGATATTCTCCTCAACACAGATGCCAGGCTCACTGGCCTATAGGCCATCATTTTACCTCTTGCTTGGGTTTCATTCCTATTTCCAAATGAATCCCTCAATAAACCTGTCAGAATATGAGCACTTCATTCATTAGTTCCTTAACTAGCCTTATTTAAGCTTTCCTCCTTTAATGCTTTCAGCCTGACCGTCATTCCTATATTCACAATATTTATATCAAATGCAAGGATTATCAATATATATTACCCTTAATAATCTGTTTTACTGTCTGAGAAACTCTGCTTTGGGAAGGCAATTTGTGTTTCCCTCCATGAACAAAGCATTCACTTGGAGAATCTGCCTTCCATTGATCACTGAACATCTCGTCCCCTAATGAAAGTCAAAGATCTTACTGTTTCCTTGCACTCCTACTTTGCTAATGCTGTAAATTAATTTCTGTCACACTTATAAAGTCAATGGAACTCGCTGTTTCATAGCCTCTTAAATTCGTTCAGAATGTCAATGTAAATGGCTGTTTGTGTTTACATTCAGTTTAAAGCACATCAAGGAAATAGTGACTAAGACAATTATAGGATTTTATAAATAATAAGATAATTCTTGAATTTGATCTAACACCTTTCACATCAAGGAGGATGCTTCAAAGTACTTCACAAGATTTTATTGTAAAGTATAGTGATTGTGTATTTTGTAGGCGAATGCAGCAGCCAATATGTACACAACAATGTTCCATAAGGCTTTTGACTGACCTTAGTTGTTCCACAGTTCCCCGGTTCCTCCTCATTATGCTAACATTACAGTAACTAAATCACCTTTCTCCACATGGAACCCTCCACACCTGGGTCTATTTCATGTCTTCATAACACAAATGATTCTTGTTCCTGAATATAATAATTATGACCTATGAGTAGCTAAACATTAAAGCCATTTAAAATTAGTACCTTTAGCTCTGGATCAACTGGTGTCTGTCTACCGTCAAAAGTCATTTTCCTCCCACAAGGTGTTGAACTACGGCTTCTAGCACTTCTGGAGACTGGCTGTAATGTACCTTTAAGGATGGCATCTGACACCTGGATGTTATTCAAAGATATTGTATCACATTACCATAAAACATTATTCTATAGTTATGAATACTGCTTTTCCCCTCACTAATCTCTGCTCCCTCCCCTTCAAGCGTCGGTTTACTGTTTGCCCTTCCTTATCTGACCCAAATCACCTTTCTCCACATGAAACCCTCTACATTAGGGTCTATTTCATGTCTTCATAACACGACTGCCCAGTAAAGAAGTAGTCCAAAAATTCTCTTTCTAGCAATGAATGTAAGTTTACCCACAGTGAGTCGAAGCAGAAGAGTGAACAGGAGCAAGACCCACTCCATAACTAGAGCTAAGTTATAGTGCTCTCGCTGAGATCAGATGACTCAGCAAAGATGGGGGCTTGAACCTGAGACCTTCCCAGTCTGTATGATACAGATTTTCATTGGATTGCCAAAAAAGCCATAAATATATATTTTTACATTGCCACTATCGCTGAATATTGTACAACAAGTTGCAGATACACCCGCCTCAAATGGATTGTTGCAGGGGTGGTGTGAGGCTGCAGTTTAATTGTATTCTCGTACACTGTGGCAGGTCATGGCTGCTGATGCCTTAATGGCTAGTAAGCTTCTTGATCTTGTAGCTTCTCACACAGAGGTTTGAGCCAAATCTTGGCAACTCGATCACTCCCACTTCCAAACGGCCTGCTCAAGAGCAACAGATTTATTGTCAAGCCACGAAGACTCTTGACCAGAGAATGGGGGAATGACATAGGCAGGCGTGAAGGAAGAGAAAATATCACTTAAACAGCACATTATAAAACTTAAATTAGTGAAAATATTGACAAGGGAAAGCTTATACCGGTGTTTCGGCTATCCTGCTGATAAGGGCAGCGGTTTCTGCCTTCCTCACGGCCTCTTGACGTTGGTGTTCTATTGCCTTCACCTCACCCCGTAGGTCATTGTTTTCTTTGGTCAATAATTGTATCTGGTTTTGAAGGTGGTTGTGGGATGTAGCCCAGCCAGACTCGTTTTTCCTCAGCTCTTCCTGGAGCTGTCCAAGCTGCTGCTTCAACAGCTGATAATGTCAAGGCAGAAAAGGATAAAAGTCAGCAACTGATCCAAAACACATTTGATTCACACTTATTTCAACAAAACTTTCAAGGACGAATAATACCATGGATTCCATGGAGTACCCATAGATCAAGGGATATACTTATAAGGAATCCTTTTAGGAATCATCACCTATTATATCCCAGTGATTTCAAGTGGTTTAATGCAAATTCCATAAAGTTATATTGTTTAATTTAAATGCAAGGTGTTATTTATAATACTTATTGCGCAGAACTAATGTGGTACAGCACATATGATCAGTTAGATGAACAATATTTTCAGATATGCCAGGACAGAGGGACAAGCAGGCACAGGGCAGTCTGAGATAGCAAAGGGCAGTCTGACGACAGACACCAGGAAATATTTCTTTACCTCGAGGGTAATTGACGACAGTTACCAGGAAAGGTGGCTGAGGCCAGACACTTATTTTAAGAAGCAGCTTGATGCTGTGATGGGAAGATGATAGGGTTGAAATTCTGGAAGGTTGAGTTCAAATGGGACAGAGGGTCTTTTTAGAAAGTCTCTTTTGATCTTGCAAAGTGTTTCCCAACCTGCGCAAGAAAAGAACATTCCCTTCTACCTGGGAACTGTTGCCAAACAATGCAATACTCACTAACACTTGGTGATAATGTTATTCAGAGTCTCAAGCAAGTGCTTGAACTCAAACATGTGGTTCAGAGAGACACACACTGGCTCGCTGAGCTAAGTGACACCAGCAAAAATATATACCCTCTATCTTATTTTCTGTGACTCACTGTTCTGCAGTTTGAAGCATTGCATTGCCCAATGTGTATTAACTCATAAGTACATTTTGGAAACAAATACAGTAATACTATATTTGAAATTCAGTACTGTATTTATTCCCACTGTACAATACAATTACAATATTACAGAAAATTACACTTATGCAGTGCCTTTCCGATCAAAGTGCTCTACACAGCTGGCTGGGCAGCAAAGATGGGAGAGTGAGCTGAAGTGGATTGTTGGGGGGAGTCGAAGTGCAGTCGAAGAGTTAAGTCTTAAGTGGGCTTTGAAAGTGAGGAGGGCAAGGGAAAGTCTACATATAGGAAATTGAAAGCGAACAAGTATATTCTCAGCGACCAAAATGTTTTCAATATGAGTAGGTACAACGCATCTTTCATGCCAACCAGCACGGACTAAGTAAGAGCTATATCCTGACTGACCTCCATCTCCTCCCGCTCTCTCCTATCTAACATCGCTTTGGCTGCCATTGTGGTCTTTTCAGACAGCCTCCTCTCCTTCTGTAGTTTCTTCATCTCTTCTTTCTTGTACTCCTCTAAACGGGCCATCTCTTCGGTCTTCTTGTGTTCAAACAGATCCATCCGCTTTCTGTCAATAAAGGAACAGGTTGGACTTTTCAGTTCACATAGTTTTTACCCTTTCTAGAATTCTAGCACCTCCATGTCATAAAGAAACCTGTTAGTGATCAATAACTTCTTCAGTTTGAACTGCATCCAATCCACTTCCCGATGAGGCTCCCGATCTGTTTGCAAAATAAAAACATTTAGACTCAGCCCATTCTCAGCTCTGATGTTGGAGTATATACACCACCAACATCTCACTGTGTTGTATAATATTACATTAGCAGCTGAATGTCATGATCCACAAACCAGACAACCCCACATTCTCCCTTTCTTCACACTGAGCTAATGACTTTAGTGACGTACCCACAAGAAAACTCCAAACCACATTCCACATATAGAGAACCAACAACAACCACAAACTGCATTTATATTGCACCTTTCACATTGAAGGCACATCCCAAGGTACAGGACATTGCACCTGAGCTGGAGGATGTATTCAAGAGCTGTGGGGCTCATGAGGCGAGTTGAGGTGGGAAGTTGATCAAAGGCTCGGTCAAAGAGGAAGGTCTTCAAGTGGGTTTGAAGGAGGCAAGGGATGGGGAGAGACAAAGATACAAGGGGAAGGGATGGTATTCCCAACAGTGGGGGCAGAAAGGCTGTAGGCCCAATGGCCATTGGTGGGGTGGGCAGGACGGGAGACGAGAAGCAGGTCCATGACTGCTAAGTGGAGGGAGTGGGCGGATTGGTCGGGTTTTAGAAGGTCACAGAGATACGATGAGACAAGACCATGGAGGGATTTAAAAGTGAGCACAAACATCTTGAACTTGATCCTCTGGGGGATAGGGAGCCAGTGAAGCTGGGCAAGGATGGGGGTGATAGACGTGCGGAGTCTCATGAAGGATAGGACACAAGCTGCAGAGTTCTGAATAGTCTGCAGCTTGTGGAGGGAAGAGTTTCCTCCTTCAAGGCCGGTCTCAAGACATTTCTCTTCAACCGTGCTTTCAGCTCCCCTCTCTACTCTCTACCCCCTCTTCGCTCCCTCCCTTCCCTCCCCTCACCCTGACCATTTGCCCCCTGCTTGGGTCCCGACCCAACTATCCAGCGCCTTGGGACATCCTCCCGACGTGAAAGTCGCTCTATAAATGCAATCATGTTGTTGTTGTTATTGTTTTTAGGAAGTCCGGCGAGCAAGGACGTGATAAAAGCATGGATAAGGGAAAATTCCCTGGGCACATCTGAACTAGAATGTGAACCATTAGCAGGGATCTAATGGATGCAATGAAGAGAAGAGATAATCTATTCAAAAGCTCAAAACAGATGAACAATGTCTCAGTAGAAGGAAAAAGGAGTCAAACGTCTTCAGGAGAGGAAGAATGGAGAAAATTGGCGGAATAAAAGTTAAAAATTAAACCTGGAACTAGAAAATATCCATTTTTGTAGAGAATGAATGACTGCAGAAATCATCTGAATCTACCAAACACTTGCAAAGAAATCGTATCATGTCTACCACTGACTGTAATCTGCCAATGCTTTTTAAAAAGTTTGAAAGATCATTAGATTGGTATTGACTGCATAGCAAGTCTGGGCTAGTCTATAAACTGTTGGACTATAGGACATTGAATTGTTTCCAGACAGAAAAGAGTAAGTTGAGTTCTGAGCACAAAAGACTTGCACATGACTATAACTGCAGAGCCTGGGAAAGTGACAAGTTGTAAGATTATATCTTGGTCAGGTGAAAAGGGTGATCCGCGCAGATTGTTATGGAAATACTGTTAGTGTCAGAGCCCTATTGGATTTAACAGATAATTATTTGCATAGGACAAGTTTGCAGGGCTATGGGGAGAGTGTGGGTGAGTGGGATTGAATTGGACAGCTTTTTTCAAAGAGCCAGCACAGACACGATGGACCAAATGACCTCCTTCTGTACTGTATAAATCTATGATTCTATGAATAGCCTCAAATAATAATCTTTGTATTTGATAATAATACAACTTGGATTTATATAGTGCTCTCCACGCCAGACGGCGTCTCAGAGCGCTTTACAGTTTAGGATCCCGGGACCGAGCCGGGGGGAGGGGTGGGAAGGTGACCAAAGGCGCGGTCGAAAAGAAAGGTCTTCAGCAGGGACCTGAAAATGGGAAGGGAGGGAGCGAGGCGAAGGGAGTGAGGAAGGCAGTTCCATAGCCTTGGGGCATAGTGGTTGAAGGCACGGCTGCCGAGGATGGAACGGAGGACTCGGGGGACACGAAGGAGGCCAGACCTGGAGGAACAAAAGCAACGGGTACTGTGCTGAGGAAAGAGGAGGTCAGAGAGGTAGGGGGTGCAGACGAGTGCAGGGACTTGAATACGAGGGTGAGGATCTTGAAATCAAAATAATATGGCTCCACTGATTAAAGGCAGCGCTTGGTGTGACGCTAAGCCATTCTTGATGAAAGTGGCCTGACCGACACTCCTCAGATTCACTTCTCACCCCCATCCTTATCCAGCTCCACTGTTAGATGGCTCTTGCTTTGAGCAAAACGGATGCCACTTTTGCCTGTAAGAAGTCATGACGGTTGACAGTAAATAGTGTTAAGTGTTTTCAGATGTTTTGTTGTGGTTCTTTCTTATCTAGCAGCATCATTCACAGTTTGATTCATCTACGAATCATAATAATCCTTGCATTTGGTTTAGCGCCTTATTATGTCGTCAAGATGTCTCAAAGTGCTACACAGATAATAACAATACTGTATATTGTATGGATATACTGTAAAGTGTAGTGAGTGTGCATTTGTGTAGTCAAACTGTGGGCATCTCCAAATATCTTTTCTCATTAGAGACCAGAAGCTCATAAACTCGATTCTCGGTCTGTTCTGAGTCAGATGATCTGTGCTGTAGCACTACAATTTATTTTATCTGGGGGAGGGGAAAAAGAGAAGGAAAACTTAGATAAGGAGGAATGAAATCATTAGCTAGAACTCCTCTGTTTCAAGGAAATGGATGCAAACGGTCTAGGTGTTGTCGGTCAGGGATGGGGTGAGTCTCAGCTGTCAAACAGCCTGCTGACAATCTGTCCAGATTCCCATCATCAGAAATGGAGATTTGGGTGAGATATTGTAGGACTGCTGGCACTTGTTGAGCTGTACCCTTTGTAGAGGAGCATTGTGCAGATGTGTAGCTGCAGGTGTGCAGAAGTCTCACCCCCACACCAACTCCCCTCCCCTCAAACGCACACACAGCTCAATCTCAGAGCAGCAGATAGAAGTGCTTCTCCTGCTTCTACTCATGTTACAGCTGAAAACAATGAATAATCACTTCCCACAGTTCAAACTGGGTATAACCACAAAAGCAAGTGTTGTGGTTCCAGGAGAGTTCACGAGAGGGCAGCACAATCTCCTCAATAGATAAGATTTCACTGAAGGTTAATGCAGTATGACAAAGAGCCAGCACAGACACGATGGACTGAATGGCCTCCTTCTGTGCTGTATAAATCTATGATTCTATGAACAGCCCCAATTACTGAATCTGAGGCTAAAACTGAGGCTTTGTTTAGTAATAAGGTGGAGAAGTGAGTTTTTCTGGTAGTCCTAGTATTACAGCATACATCTATAGGAAACACCATTAATCTTAAATTGCTGTAGGAAGATTTGGTAACATTCTTTCAGCAGGTCAACATTGCAATAATTTTAAAATCAAGGCAGCACAGTGTGTTGAAGCTCTGATGTGCTGCGCCATTCATTGCTTGGATACAGCATAGGGGTTATATCTGCAATTTCTCACTCAGTGAGCTCCAAATGAACAAGTACAAGCACAGGTCAGGCATTTTTAAAAAAATATTTGCTTGTTTGTGGATTGAGTGGCTGCCGTGTGACTGTTTGGCTGCCTTGTTTCACCCACAAAATATACAGTTGATTCACTTTACAGTATATTCTGTGAAGCGCTCTAGACGTCTCAACGACGTGATAAGGAGCTATATCAAATGCAAGGATTATTATTATTATTCTCCCTGTACAAAATAGAAAAGAAATTGGAGGATTCATTGCAAGATGCTCTAGTGTACCACCTAGTGGCTAATTAAAGAATAGCATTGGTAGTGGCCTTGGTAAAGGTAACTTCCTCTCAGAGAGACCTCAGTCAGTGTACATGGTGAGTGGGGACTTAGAGAAGGGAAACTGCTGGACAGAAAGTTGCACTGCAGCACAGAAAATTCCTCCTATATTTCCTTTCTTTAAGGGTAAGAAATAGATATGTAGCGGAAACCTGCAACAAAAACAGAGAGAGCTGGGAACACTCAGCAGGTCAGTCAGCATCTATGGAGAAAGGAAAGTGAGTCAACGTTTCGGGTCCACGACCCTTCGTCAGATTTCCAGCATCTGCAGTATTTTGTGTTTTGTTCAGAGTAAAACCTGTAGTTTGTTTACTAAGAAATAAAAAGTAGGTGCAATAACTATAATTTACATACACATAGTATCCTCATGCATGATAGCGCTGTGAAGTCGTCTGAGACAATACCCTGAATGAAGGGCACTATAAAAGTGCAATTTGTTGCTGTTGATGGTGTCTCGGAGTGGTGGGTTTGGACTCTGAGTAAGGGAGAAGGAGGAGGGGAAGGTGACCATAGGTGCAGTTGAAGAGGTAGGTTATAAGGTGGAAATGCAAGAAAGATAATAATAATAATAATAATCCTTGCATTTGATATAGCGCTTTTCACGTCGGGAGGACGTCCCAAAGCGCTTCACAGAACACACAGTAAAGTGAATTGACTATATATTTGTGGGCAAACGCGGCAGCCAATTGCGCACAGCAATGTCCCACAAACAGTCATAGATTGAAAATGACCAATTTATTATTGTTTTGTTTTTTGAAGGGATTATTATTAGGCGTGTGGAGTAAGGAAACTTGCCCAAGGTTTCGCCCTGCCTGGAACTGAACTCAGATCTCTCACTTGCAAAGCGAGTGCTCTAACCACTGAGCTACAGGACACCGATGTATTCCTAAGTATAGAAATAAAAGATGAAGAGGGGGTGAGGAGTAGAGATTGAGGCAGGAATTTCCAGAGGTTGAGGGAGTGGTTGCAATGTGGAAATATCTCAACAAAACCAAATCAAGTGTCAGACTCTCACCTCAGGTTTTCCATGGCCAGCTCTTGTTCCTCCTTCATTTTGACTAATGTGTTGTTTTCTGCTCGGAATCGATCAATTTCTGCTTCGAGCTGTTGAAGTTTGTCTTGCAGTAGTTTGGATTGAACCCCGTCTGCCAGGTGAGTGGTTTTGACCAAAAAATAAATTGATTTAAAGAAGACCAGAATATTATAAAACAATACACAACAGCAACATGCGTACCCCCATTGTACTAGAACATGAAGGATATTGAACGGGAGGGGGGAATTTCAATCTAAAATATTTTTTGCACTTTTATAATACCAAATCAAATGGGAAAATCTCTCGGCACATAGGCAGAGTACAGAATGTATCAGCCTGGTTCAGTGGTAGTACTCTCACCCCTGATTCAGAAAGTTGTGAGTTTAAGCCTCATGTTGCTATTTGGAACTCATATAGTCTAAGATGACACTCCACTGCAGTGCTGGGTGGGGGCAGGAGGGTGGTGTTCCATTATCAGGGGTGCCATCCTTCGAATGAGACCTAAAAAAAATACTTTACACAATAGTATATCCTGTGAAACACTTTGGGATGTCCCCTGTTGTGAATGGTGCTATCCGAAAGGCATGGACTATTATAAAGTAGCTTAAATATGTAGCTAAGCACTCAAATAGTTCTCAAGTATGAATACTATACAATATTAGTATCAATAATTCAATGCTTTATAGAAAGATGTAATAAATGATTTTCACAGGCACACACCTTGAACTTTCTCATTGATGGCTTTAGGTTCTAGAAGATCACATTGCATTATAACCTTTGGCTTGGAGTTTGGAGATGGGAGCAATCTTCCTTCAAGGTCAATAGCTGAAGGTTGCTCCAGATTTGATTGCTTGGAGTCATTAGGCTGATTGTCCACCAAACTACCGGCATTTGACTTTGAGAATTTGGACTTTCTTCTCCGCACTTTACTTTTCTCCTTTGTTGACCTATTGTGTGGGAAGAGACATCGCCTCAACGGAGCATTGGGTTTGCGTCCTCTAATCTCATTCTCACCGCTGCTGCTAGTGGTGCTGCTCAGGACATTGTATTTCTCTAAAGAAGATTTACTGTGTGCAGAACATTGAAATGTTTGCACCTCTAGATCTTCTAGTCCACTTGGGAGGTCGCTCGCGTAGTCTGCATCATCAGACAAGTCCAGATGGTTGTCAATGTGGTTGTACTTTTGTGCCGTCTCTTTTGTTAGTTGTTGGTGACACTGAGATTTGGGGTCATCATCCTCAGTATCTGTACTGCTGGCTTTAGTATGAGCTGTTCTGTGATGCTCATTCTTACTTTTAAAACCAATAATCAATCCGTTTTGCTCATTATTTGTATGTAGTATTAACCCTGTGCTTGTGTCTCTGTGCATTTCCCCATCTTGGACTTCTTGGTTTTGGACATTCTCACTACAGTAAAGCAGACCGTCAACTTGTACTATTTGGTCATTTAATTTTTTGAAGCCTACTTTTTTTCTGTCAAGACCTTTGCTGGAATCTGCGTTATTTCGTTTGTCACCTTGCTCTTTCTCTATCTGCTCCTGGAAAAGTGCAATATCCTGCTTCACAACTCCATCCCTGTTGCTATTTTGTTGCTCCAGAGAACATGCCAGGTAGGAAGAGGTATTGAAAGGCATTGAAAGTTCATTGACAGATTCCTGTGACTGCCATACATGTTGTTCTTGGTTGAGTTTTGTTATACTTTCAGGAAGAACGTGGTTACTTGACTGATTCGGCAAATTTGATTCAAATTGAATCAAATTCTGACATTCAAGAATATGGAAGTTTAAACTTTTACTTCCAGGAGCATGTCCTTGTGTTTCCTCTTCACTATTCCCCCCAACTGTTTTAATACCCTCTTTTAAATGCTGACATGCATTGTTTCTGTCATTGCAGTGTTTGCAGGACAACTCAAACTTGTTCATCAGTTCAGGAGCATTTATGTCACTTTGAATGCCCTCATCTGTACTGTTTTTGATCTCATCCAGTTTGTCATGTTGCCTATGGTCCTTGCTACCACTCATCATGGAGCTATTAGTAGGGAGAGGCTTCTTCGCTTTGGATGACAAAAGGACAGAGGTGCTAACCTGCTTTTTTAAAGCTGGTCGTTTTTTCACCTGAAGACTATCGCCCTCGGAGAGCGCAGGTAGAGAAAGCCGGCGATGACTGCCAAAGGTGACTTTCCAAGGAGACTGTTTAGCAGATTCTTTAATGGGACATACGCTTTGCTCCTTGGGTGCAATGTCTTTGTTCTTCTCAAATCGTGCAATACCTTCACCACGCTTCAAGAAAGACTTCTTAGTTGTTGCCTTCACCTCATTTACATTCTATGAAACAATCAAACAGTTTTGATAAAAACACAGCATATACTGTAATACAGTATTACAGTATATGCTGTACTACATGCTCCCCCGCCCATTATTCTATTAATGAAACATTTTAGAGCACGCCGAATTTGTCAAAATGTTGAACTCAGCTTTAACTCTGAAGTCAGTTTTCTGTGGTTCTCAAAAAGAGAAAACTGACTTCAAAATTAAGTTTGTGGCTTACTTTCATTTCAGAATTTTCAAAATTATATCCATTATTTATTGTTTTAAACTGACTGTTAGCCATATTCATGATCTTTTTCTTTTTGTAATGTTTACTGATACAATTACTAACGTATGTTCTCAATTATCCTGGCCATCAATTACCCCAAATAAACACGCTCATGGCTATTGGGGATATAGCTATGCACATATTAGCTGTGCATTTGCCCACAAAATACTGTCACTACACTTTACAGTAAATCCTTTGAGACCGCCTCCTGACGTGAAAGATGCTACATCAAATCCAAGGATTATTCTTATTATCAATGGTGATATCAGCAGATACTCAAATTTAAAAAGATAATTAAAATTAATTTTATATTTTTACATATTAAATGTTGTGTACTGTCACTTTGACTGACAATCCATGGCAATATTTGTTGACCAAGCCATGATATCTTCTATCTATACCTGTGAATCTTGTTTAACAGATTCTGAATCCACTTTAAGTTGTTCTTCCACAAAATCTTCAAAGGTTTTTTGTCTCACGCTAATTCCAGGCCTGATTGGTCTAAAAGAAAGAACATTAATTAAGGGTTAAGATGTTTTATAATAATCCCTCAAAAAAAAAACAATAATTAAATGAGTCATTTTCAATCTACGACTGTTTGTGGGACATTGCTGTGCGCAATTGGCTGCCGCGTTCGCCCACAAATATACAGTCAATTCACTTTACAGTGTGTTCTGTGAAGCGCTTTGGGATGTCCTCCCGACGTGAAAAGCGCTATATCAAATGCAAGGATTATTATTATTATTATTATTATTTATTTCAGTGTGTTCTAAATTGCTCCAAAATTCAGAATTTGTATTGTTAATTTCTTACGGAGTTCGAGAGGGTTAATGTTAATAATGCTGCGTGAACCTAGGCGTGAAAAGCTGAGACCAAACGTCTCGAGTGGCTTAGTAGGTAGAATACTGAATTTAAGATGAAAAGGTTCTCAGCTCCTGCTTTGCTTCGTTCAGCACCTTTTTTACTACTGGCGCTGACAGCATCAGTATACATGGATTCACTCTTCACCTCACTAAGCCAGTACGGCTTGGTGTTCTGTTCGACTCAGTTGTCCTTCAAGCCTCGTGTTCGTGCCTTGACTTGATTAGCTTTCCCTTCCTTGCAACATTGCCCATCTCCTCAGGCTGCCGAGAACCTTATCACTTTATCGCCTTAGCCTTTATCACTTCCAGGCTTCACTATGCTAACTCCCTGCTCACTGGACTTCACCACTCTTTCCTCCACAGACTTCAAACTATTCAAAATTCTGCAAAATTCCCTCAAAGGATCGAGATCAAAATCTTTGTCCTGACTTTTAAAGCCCTCCACGTTCTTGCCCTAGCCTACCTTTGTGACCTTCTAATCTTACCAAACTGCCCTTTCCTTCCGCTCTGCAGGCTTGCTTCATGTCCTCCGTCCTACTCATCCCACCATCGGTGGTCAGGCTCCCAGCCTTTTTGCCCCCACTGTCTGGAACTCCCTCCCTGAATCCCTTCACTTCACGCCTTCCCTGGCCTTCATCAAAGTCCATCTCATGACCTTGCTTTTTGACCGTGCTTTTGGTCATCTTCCCACCCCCGCTCCACCCGCCCTCACCCCTCTTGTATCCAACCCCCAGCTCAGGTGCAAACCATTGATTGTTCAGTGCTTTCGGATGTCCTCCTGACGTGAAAGGTGCTATATAATAATAATAATCCTCGCATTTGATGTAGCGCTTTTCACGTCGGGAGGACGTCCCAAAGCGCTTCACAGAACACACTGTAAAGTGAATTGACTGTATATTTGTGGGCGAACGCGGCAGCCAATTGCGCACAGCAATAAATGTAATTTGTTTTTCTTGTTGTTTTGTTCTGTCATTTCTATTATTCTTACCTTTCTTCTGGACCCCCTGTTCTTTTGGGATTTCTCTCAATTCCAAAAGGAGATACAATGCTCTGCTCCGTGGGTTGCTCACAATTCTCTTTAATTGGAGGAAGATTCCCAGGACAGCTTTCATCCTCTGGGATGCTGTCATCTACAGAAATGGTAATAATAATAATAATAATACTGCTTGCATTTGGTATAGTGGCTTTCATGTTCAGGAGGACATCTCAAAGTGCTTCACAAGACTTTTACCGTGAAGTGGAGTGACTGTTTTGTAGATGAACAGTGCAGCCCAACTGCGCACATCAATATCCACAAACAGCCATGAAACTAATGACCAATGTTATTTTGGGGATTGTTGCCAGGACGAAAAGAGTTATTCCAGGGCAAACCCACATTATTTCAATGGTTTTTGGGATTAATTTGCAACACTCCTGAAATATAACATGCTGACAACAATTCCAGATCTTTTAAAGTTTAGAGATATCTCCTTTGACAAGATCATGAGACAGATTCAGATAAAGAAGGGCCTTTGGCCTGTTTCATGTAATTTGATCGCAGAATACTACCCTAAGTATTCCTGTTGCAGCATTAAGCTGTTTCTTTCATAAGCCCTGTGTCCTGGCCTCAGCTTCCTTCCCAGAACCCATTCCAGCTGTCAATTCCTATAAATCTGTTCTAACAACGTAGCACAGCCTTGCCTGTTTATTAGCCATGAATCAACTAACACCCTAGGATGTTATGTTTTGATCTGCTTCTATGTGCCTTTCCAGTACTTGCTTGGTTTTGTAATCTCTTTCCCTTCCTTGTGTATAATCTTATTTTCCAAGTCCCCTCTACTTGGGGGATACTCTATCTGTGACCAGGGCTCCCTCTGCTTCCTTGTCCTCCTGGACCTCTCCGCGGCATTCAACACAGTCGATCACGTCATCCTCCTCCACCCCCTTTCCTCAGTCATCCACCTCAGTGGGACCGCACTCACCTGGTTTGAGTCCTACCTCACAAACCGGCAGCAGTACATCTGCACAAACGGCTTCTCCTTCTGCTCTCACCCGGTTACCTGCGAGGTACCCCAAGATCCATCCTTGGCCCCCTCCTCTTTCTGATCTACATGCTCCCTTTTGGGTATGTCATCTGCAGACATGGAGTAAATTTCCACATGTACGCGGATGACACCTAACTCAATTTGCCACCTCTCTTTGCGACCCCCAGTCCCCTGATGTTCTGTCAGCCTGCCTGTCAGATCTCAAGGGCTGGATGAGCACAAATTTCCTTCAGCTGACCGTTGACAAGACAAACGCCATACTCTTTGGCACTCGTCAATGTCTCACGGCTCTCACCTCCTCCGCCTACCCGACTTCCCCCTAAAACTCTCCGAACCCGTACGCAACCTAGGCGTCAGGTTCGACCCCCAATTATCCTTACTCCCCCACATCCGGTCCATCACCAGCACCGCCTTGTTCCTTCTCCGACGCATCGCCCGTCTCCACCAATACCTCTCTCTGAAAAACGCTGAAACCCTGGTCCATGCTTTTGTCTCCTCTCGGGTGGAGTTCTAATGTCCTCTTTGCCGGTCTCTCATCCACTACATCCATAAAATCCAGATCATTCAAAACTCTGCCGCCCGCATTCTCATCTGCACCAAACTCTGCTCCCCGATCACCCCAGTCCTTGCCAGACTGCATTGGCTGCCTATCCCAGAGAAGATCGACTTCAAGATCCTCATCCTTGTATTCAAATCCCTCCACTCCTCTGCACTCCCCTACCTCTCTGACCTCCTCTCTCCTCAAAACAGTACCTGTTGCCTTCGTTCCTCCGGGTCTGGTCTCCTCCTCGTCCCCCGAGTCCTCCGCTCCACTCTCGGCGGCCGTGCCTTCAGCCACTATGCCCTGAGACTCTGGAATTCCCTTCCTCACTCCCTTCACCACGCTCCCTCCCTTTCTATTTTCAGGTCTCTGCTGAAGACCTTTCTTTTTGACCGCGCCTTTGGTCACCTTCCTCCCCCTCCCCCTGGCTCGGCCCCGGGATCCGTTACTGTGAAGTGCTCTGAGACGCCGTCCGACGTGGAGGGCACTATATAAATCCAAAGTTGTTATTATTGTTGTTGTTGTTACCCTCTTCCTACATGTTCTGTATGACACACTCACATCTACATATAATCAGAGGCTACATTATTTTGATTTTTTCCCTATATTTTTTACGAACAACAATAGAGTCAGAATCACCTCCATGTCTGAGATACACATGCCTTCTCATTCAGTATTGCGTTAGAACACCTTTATCTTACCTACATTTGTTTCTGTATCCTCAGCCTGAGATGGAAGTCCAGAGACCTGTCTCTGAGATGTCTCATTTGGCAAATGCTGTACCAACACAGAATTTGTAGCAGGAACACCTGTGACACAAAGTTAATATCTATGAGCTATTTTACCTAAAAGCATAGATAACAAATTGTCAGTAATGGAGATATTGACCCTGAATATTTCATGTATTAAGTTGTAAAGCAGCAAATGAGATTCAAATATAAAATAATAATAATCCTTACATTTGATATAGCACCTTCCATGTTGGGCAGATGTTTTAAAATGCTTCACACAGTATTTGTGTAGTGCATATTTTGTAGGCGAAAACATTTGTATTTGCTATAAAGCAGGCAATGGTTGGTTTTCAAAGTTGCCAAACAGTGTCAACATCAAGCCCTCCGAGATGGCACAGGTTGTTCGTCTCAATGTAGAAATCATTTATAGTCCACCCTTGACAACACATGTTTAAGTCAGCCTTTGAACCTAATGCACTGACTGGATTTCTTTGATCTTCTAACATGTGGCCATTCAGAATGAGAATGAAACATGAGAGCACTCGCCTTGCAGGCAAGACACCTGGGTCCAATTCCAATGCAAGGATTATTATTATTATTATTAAATTACACATGGTGTAAAATCTCCACCTCCGTTATGGACAGGCTGACAAAGCTAATTGTTATGAACCTTTACCAACTTAGCTAAGAATATTTCCCCATCTGCTTCTATTTTAACACGTGACCTCTGTTACTAACCTGTGTCTGGAGACCGATGTGCATTCCCTGTAGGTTCTGTAGGGTTGCTGACAACAGATAATGCAACTGAGCTCTGCTGTGTCACAGATGGCGCTGTTTGGAGGAGTGATGGCCCAATGCTAAATGCTCCCTGGCTATGGGCTCTTGAAGGGCTTTCATTACTAGATTGGCCAAACAATGGAAGTATAGGGGGATCGATCATTGGAACCAAACCTGGAGCCATACCAGCCACTGGATGTGAGAATCCTATAGGCAATGTAAAGCCTGCAGCAAGTAGGAAATAACAATGCAGGTCATTAAGTATATCACACAAACAACATCATGCAAATTGCAGAGTATACTTGCTTAATAAAGCTATTCCAGTCCATAATAAAAACTAATGATTAAAGTTCCTGCCAATACTATCAATAACTCTGCAGCCCATGTCCGTTCCCACACCAGGATCTGCCAGTCCATCACCCCCATCGCCGCTCAGCTCCGTTGGCCAAATCCCAACAGATTGAATTCAAGATCCACGTCCTCACTTTCAACCTCCTGCAAACCCCCCCATCCCCCCACACACTATCCCAGTCAGCTGCATGAAGTGCTTCAAGTCATCCTGTCGACACAAAAGGCATAGAAATATCAATTGTCTTTGGAATTAAATTAATTTAATGGACATTTTCTGAGATAATCAAGGAGTTGTTTGGAGATATATGTAACATCAGATAATAAACCATTCGATAGTCCATCTATAATGCTGAGACGTTTCAAAGTGCCTGGCATCTCCTGGACCCAATCTGCTGGGAGATGCTAAGTAAAAACCCCAAATTGATTCCAGCAACGCAAAACAAAGCACCTTGGTATTCAAATGCTCTGCGTCACTGCCATTCTTCAGTCCTCAATGTGTGAGAATTCTTGACTAAGTCAAAGGCAGCCTTCCCTTCTAAACACAATTAAATAATCTAATTAGCACATTAGGTTTGCAGAGAGATTTTCTTGGCCTCTGCCATGTTTGCCATTGGTGACCATAGAGATGTGACTGGGACAGGTTTTCAGCCAATGGCTCACTACATTACATTACAAACCTACAGCTATTAACCACAGTATAACTGAGCTCAACGACTCCGAGAGAACTGAGAATCTAAAACAAACAACAAAACATGGAAATCCGCCTTTGCTAAATTCTATAAATTGCTATGCTCAGAATAACAAATATAATCTATGTAAGTTTCCAGGTTATTTTTTCCACTATATTTCTCAGTTTGTGCTCCTCTCTATCCACATAATCAAATGAGAAATAACATGCCTGGGCATGCCACCCCATAGCTGGCTGCATCTACATGTCAGACATAAGTGGCAGCATTCCAGATCAACTTTGCAGAGGCTCACTGTTGGATTAGAGATTTGCATCTATTAATCAGACCGGGTCTGAGACCTCACAAATGGTTTAAATGAAAAACAGACAAATAAAATCGTCCACAAGTAAACCAAGGAGTCACAGCTATGAGCACCTCCTGTGTTATTGGAGAGAGATGCAGACACTAAGTAGCCCTGTTTACTACCCTAGTGAATTCCTCAAAGATCGCCATTGGATTCATGAAATTTACTTCTAAAATCATGCAGCGTTTCTGTATTGTCCTGTGCTATTTGGATGAACATTGGTGATGTTCCAAAACTGCCCTTGACACATACTCTCTGGAAGTAAGTCGGCAATGTGTATCCTTCCAGGAAGAGAGGGGATATTTCATGCCTGACACAGGAAGATTTTCGTGTGTAGATGGCAAACACATGTGGAATACTCAGTTTAGATACTCTTAAGCAGGGGGATGGGTATCTGCATGTATCAGACCAAAAAACATTTTTCTGAAATCCTTAAGTGTATTAACTGGGCTTTTTAAATCACTAACGGCACTTAGCAAATGTGCGGGGTAAAACCCACCAAGGTCTATATTTACTTTATTTGCATAGCATTTCAGAGAGTACAGAATTTGGCAAATCGTCAAATTCAGTTTTGACTTTGAAATTATTTTTCTGTAATTCTTAAATGAAACTTAAAGAAAAACGGCTTCAAAATTAAAGATTTTCCATTGATGAATTTGACAAATTTTGATCGCTCCGAAATGTTACATAGAGTAAATTGAAAATTTCCATTTAGTGATTGTTACCTGTAGATTTTAATTTTAAAAAAGGTCATATGATATGCAGTTTACTTACTTCCTCTACTGTTGAATCTCCACACCGCATGATTGGGCCATGCATATTTTTATGGGTGCAATACAAATTGTGTCACACAGACACCCACAGAATATTTGTGTGATACCACCAGATAACATCAGAGTCTAAAATTCAACAAACTCTCAATTGGTGCTCATGATGTGCAGCCAGGCCACTTGTTGATTGCAGTTAAAAAAAAGTCTGACGTAAGGTCAGAAAGCATAAAGCTGATTTGGGAACAGCTTTTGCTGGTACCTGGGATCGGGATTTTTTTCAACGAATGTTATACAATTTCATATCCAGCATTCACAAACAAGTAAGCAGGTATTATCTTCTTCACCCTAACTGCAGCTATCTTGTGTCTGGCACAAGGAAAATTGCAGTATATTGACCTGTTGTCCACCGAGTGCTTCATATCAGCATAGCTAACGTAGCATAGCAATGGAGTTGCATTTCTGGGGTCAGCCCAGCCTGGAAAATCTCAAATTGTACTCTAAACATGCAGAATAACAGAAATACCATAAATGTCTGAGCTCCCACTAAGGTTAAACCGGATTGGTTGAAGGTAAATGATCTTAATACACTCTGGTTACTAAAGTTAACATATTGTAGATGTGATGATTCATTTAAAATGTCGTAATTAACAACAACAACAACATTACATTTGTATAGCGCCTTTCACGTCAGGAGGACGTCCCAAGGCACTGGACAGAGTACAACATTTCAGACCCGAGCTGGGGTTGGGGGGGGAAGGGAGGGGAGGGGAAGGGGGGTGGCCGACAGCACAGCCGAAGAGGAGGGTCTTGAGGCGGGACTTGAAGGAGGCTAAGGAAGGGGCGAGGCGGAGTGACTGGGGGATGGAACTCCAAAGGTTGGGGGCAGAGTGACTGAAAGCTCTCCCGCCAATGGTGGGGCGGGTGGGTTGGGGGATGTGGAGCAGCCTGGAGCCAGCTGAGCGGAGGGAACGGGCGGTTGGTAAGGGGTTAGGAGGTCGCAGAGGTAGGGTGGGGTGAGGCCATGGAGGGCTTTGTATGGGAGGACCAGGATCTTGAACTGGATCCTCTGAAGGATAGGGAGTCAGTGGAGTCGGGCGAGAGTGGGGAAGATGGGGTCATGGAGTTTGGTGCGGGAGAGGACGCGACAGAAAAAAAGAGGAAGACAAACATTCTGGTTGTTTGCGGAATACAATTTTTATTCCACCCATAAAAATATTCAATACCCAATCATTACGGGCAGAAATTCACAAGTTGCTTCACTGTGTAGATAGAAAATAGACTCAAACAAAATTCATTAATATATTTTCTGTTGTTCAGTTTTGGTCTAAATTCAGTAATCATAGTTTCTGCCCTTTTTGGGACGTTCCCAACTAGGCAAGTCTCTCCTGGGTCAGATCCCCCATGAGATGTCATAAAAACAATGGAGCTTGTTCTGTTAAAGCCTGCTGACATCAATAAAATACCTCACCCAGATAAATCAGCAACAAATAGACATCGACAGTCATCAGACTGCAGCCTCTGAGTGATGTTGTCCTGCTGGTAAAATCTTTTTCATCCTTGAACAGCACAATAAAACTGTGGGTTTCACTGAAGTACAGTATACAAGTAATGCACTGTTCAATTGCATTAGAAATCTTTGCTTATAATATAACAAATTGTCCCATTATAAGCATACAAAGCACGCAGCATATTATTTACCCCAGTGTGGTGCTGTAATAGGTAACTACCTCTTTCTATCCTGCCCTTATACAATTTCTAAAATACAGGGCAAACCACCCAGTATAACACTGCCTTGCTCTTAGACGCCTACTGTCAGCTGTGTCAACTGGAACCTTATGCTATAATAATAATAATAATTCTTGCATTTGATATAGCGCTTTTCACATCTTCTTGACATCTCAAAGCGCTTCACAAAATAGACTGTGAAGTGAATTGACCGTATATTTGTGGGCGAAACGCAGCAGCCAATTGCGCACAGCAATGTCCCACAAACAGTCGTGGATTGAAAATGACCAATTTATCATTGTCTTTGTTTTTTGGAGGGATTATTATTAGGCGTGTGGAGTGAGGAAACTTGTCCAAGGTTTCGCCCTGCCTGGAATTGCAAGGCGAGTACTCTAACCACTGAGCTACAGGACTCCACACCCTGTAACATCTGCAACTTCTACCTCTGATTTGCCAACTTCCTGTGCTAAAAACTGGTTGCATTCAGTGTCACAAGCATCTGTTAATGTCACTTCTTGAACATAGAGGTTCAACAATGGTTTGGGTTTATTTACTGCCAGGAGGATGTCTCAAAACACTTGGTATAGAACTGACTGTGAGACCAAGCTGAGGGTTGGGGAGCTGAGGAAGGAGACTGGGGAAAGGTGACCAAATGTGCGACCAAAAAGAAAGGTCTTAAGGTGGATTTTAAAGATGGGGCGGAAAGGAGGGAGAGAGAGAGAGGAGGTTATACTTATAACACAGTGTCTGAGCTATTGAACCGAATTATAATGAGGTTCCCCTGTAGATATTTTATTTATTAGGTAATGTAGGTGAGGCTAAAGAATACATAAATTGTGTTCTTCAGCCTCACCAAAGATTGAATAAAGACCGTTTCGAAAAACAAAAATCTCCTGTAAGAAACTTAAACAAAGGGGTTTTCAGTCAGGATATATACTATCCATATATATGCTATTAAAGATATATGCTATTAAAGGTGCAACTACTGGACTCTAATACTAATAATATTCCTAACATTTGATATAGAAACTTTCACATTGGGAGGACATCTCGAAGTGGAGTAAAGGATTTCAAGTGTAAAATGTAGTAATTGTATTTTGTGGATGAATTTAGTAAACCGAAGAACAAAAAGTTGTGACTATTGTAAAGAAAGTATTTGGCTTGTTCCAGTTGAAGTGCTAAATATTTTATTCTTGAGTTCCAAAATGATGCAGCATATAATAAAATTACTTCAGTCTTTGTGATCTGAGCATTTCAGCCACACACCATAGTAGTTTTAGTCCTTCAGAGTAGCCACAAAAAATTCAGTCAATACAACTACAGAAATCCTATTAATGTTTTATTGTAGTTGTATTGAATACAACTGTGAATGCTTTGAGACATCTTCCTGACATGAAAGGCACTATACCAAATGTGAGGATTATTCTTTTTTTACTTTAAGCAATATCTGAAATTCTAGATCAGTTATTCTCAGAACCTCCAAGGAATGATAGTGAGATTGAATATATGTGAAAAATAAGGACATAAAAATTAAAACAAATCCTGTGTCGACTCTATATTGATAAAGATAAAAAAGTGACACTTTTATGCCTGTAATTTTTCACAGACAATAGTGTGAAATTCTGAAACACAGCACCTACTTTACAGTCAGAGCTCAACAACAACAACAACAACTTGCATTTATATAGCGCAGGATAGTGTCCCGGAGAGCTTGACAGTGGCGACATCTGATGCTGAGCCAGAGCGAGAGGAAGGGTGGAGGTGACCGTAACCATGATCAAAAGGGAAGGTTTTAGTTGGGATTTGAAAGTGGGGAGGGACTGGGAGAGGCAAGCAGAGGGATTGAGGGAGTGAGCTCTGAAGGTTTCAGGGCGAAGTGGATGAAGGCACAGCCACCGATGGAGTGGAGGGTGTGAGGGACAAACAGGAGGCGGGAGCCATACGAGTGGAGGCAGTGGGTGGTTGAGTGGGGAGTAAGCAGATCGGATAGGTAGGGAGGTGCGAGAGCATGAAGGGATTTGCAAATAAGTCGATCCATTTAGTAATTGGGAGCCAGTGGAGTATGGCGAGGATTGGTGTGATGGGAGTACAAACTTTTGTGCAGGTGAGTGTTCTGTGCGGGTTTAGAGGTATGGAAGGAGGTGGGCAATGCAACAGAGGTGGACAAAGCAGTCCCTGTCAGGACACAGATGTGAGGCAGAAAGGAAAGCTGGAAATCGAACCTGACGCCTAAGTTGCAGGGCTTCGATGAGTCTGAGCGAGAGCCCTGGGATGTTGAAAAGTTCAGACCCGCAGGAGAGAAGATGTTGACAGGAGCCAAAGAGCATGGCTTCCATCTTGCCAACATTCAGATGCAGGAAATTTACGCTAATCCAGGCCTTGATGTCTGTCAAAGCAAGCTGACAGGACAACAGTGAATAGGGAGTCATAACTGGAGGAGGAGAAGTAGATTTGGGTGTCATCCGCATACATGTGGCAGTTGACTGCATGTCTACGGATGACACCACACTGAGAGGGAGCACGTAGATAAGAAAAAGAAGAGGGACAAGAATGGAGCCTTTGGTTACCCCGCAGGTGACCGGGTAGGAGGAAAAAACATTTGCCGAGATGTATCGTTGGCAGTTTGTTAAGTAGGACTCGAACCATGCAAGTGCGGTCCCACTAAAGTGGATGAAGGAGAGGTGGTGGAGGAGGATGGCGTGATTGACTGTCAAATGCGGTGGAGTGGTCCAAGAGAACAAGGAGCCAGAGGGAGCCCTGGTGACGAGAGAGATGACGTCATTCATTACTTTGACGAGCGTTGTTTCTGCGTTGTGTGCATAGTGAAAACTGGTCTAGAGGGGTCGAGTAGGGAGTGGAGAGAGTTGTGAACGAAGATGATTTGCAACAAAGTATTCCAAAACTTTGGTCAGGAAGGGCAAGTTTGAGATGGATCTGAAGTTTGTGAGGTTGGCAGGATGGAGGGTAGGTTTTTTAAGAGGAGTGATGACAGCGGTGGTTTTGAAGGGGAGTGGGACAGATCCTGAGGAGAGGAACTGGTTGATTGTGTCAGACAGCAGTGGGCAGAGGAGGGGGAATTGAGTGACCAGAAGCTGAGTGGGAGAAAGGAAGGAGGGAGAGATAGGGGCAATGGAGTGTATGGTTGGGGCCGTGGTAGGAGCTGTGGTAGGAGGAGAGGATGATAAAGGAGGCATGGGGGGAGGGAGTGATAGGTAACAGTTGCGTGGGGGGGGGGGGGGGGGAGGAGGAGGAGGCAGCCAGGCGAATATACTCCTCAACATCATGGGATTTTTGCTTTCCTTGTTGGTGAATTTATGGAACTTGATACTTTCCTTTTTTTCAGACACATGTGACATTTGAACAGCTACCATGTTGATTTTTGCACTTTATAAGCGAATGGGCTAGATGTTGTGATAAGGACATCAGTACCTGGGCTAGCTGGGGGCAGGCTGAGTAGTTTCATGAGTTTCTGCTGCTGATCCATCAGATGTTGGAGATGCTCCATTTGCTGTCTCATTAGGTGGCCTTGTTGCTCACTTTGTACCTGCTGGCACAGTACAGAGTAACTTGTGAGGGAATCGAAGGAGAAAAGAACCCAAAAGAAGGAATACAGTTCTGATGACGAATTGAATCTGACACATGAATCTATCTTTCTCATTTAGATGGTAATCGATCTGCTGTGAATTTAAATCTTGCAATGAAAGACTGAAAATCATTTAGTTGCTTCATAGTGCTTTGCTCCTCAACTCTTCTCATGATTTTACTTTAAAGTGTAGGGACTGTATATTTTGTAGGCGAATACAGCAGCCAGTTTGCACACAACAATGTCTCATAAACAGCTATGAAGTAAAAGTAATCAATTTTATCTGGAGGATTGTTAGTCTTGACACAGGGAGAAACTTTCTTCTCTTTTCAGATCATGCTATGGGAACTTTATCTTCCACCTGAACAGGCAGACGCTCCCGCTTTAACATATCATCAGAAGGACGACACCTCCAACAACACAGCGCTCCCCTAGTACTGCATTGGAATGTGAGCCTAGACCATGTAAGTCAAAGTCCCCACGTGGGGCTTGAACCCACAATCCTGTGACTCTTAGCAAACTGCATCTGAAGCATTCCACAGCAAAATAACATGTAGCAGATGAGCAAAAGCTTTCTAAATAGTAAGACAGAAAATTACCTGACTGGAAAAGACCATTGCTGCCTTTCTAGAAAAATCCCCAAATAAAGCAGAATCATATAAAAAGTTAACTGTTCCTCTGTTTCTCATACCCCTCAATCAATGTCTTCAACAAACAGCTAGCTAGTCCTGTCAGATTGGCTGATGCAATCTGCCTTCACCAACTTCCTGGATAAATCCACTCTATTTCGTAAACCCAAATCCTGGCTCCTTGGGACATCCTCCCAATGTGAAAGGTGCTATATAAGTTGTGGTTGATGTTGTTTTCAATACTTTAGGGTGTATCATGACAGCAGAAAAATAGGACATAGGTTTAGAGTTGTGAAGGGCAATTTCAGGACAGATAGCAGAATGTTTTCCTTTGTGCAGAACATAATCAATACTTGGAACAGGTTGCCAGGAAAGGTGGTAGAGACCAAGACACTGGACTCATTTAAAAAGCAGTTTGTAGTAGTGGCGGTGGGGACAGTAGGGTGAGTGTTCTGGAGGAATGATACCAGATGGACCTCAAGGGCGTCTTCACCCAAACCTATTTTATGATGTTGTACATATTCACGACTCCGTGTAGTCAATTTTAAACTGTCTGTTCTCTTTCTCTCTGCTGAGTTTGAGACTGTTTTAGTGTTCGTTACTACCGTAACAAACCATAATTCGTCACTCCAAGGGAAAAGAGCTCAATGATGAGCTATCTCAGCAGTGGATAGTTAGGCACAGGTCCTCCTTGGCCACAAGAGGCACTGTAACTGGAGCAGGCTCTTAGTGAATTTCGGGCGCACATGCTTAGATGCATCGCAGAGGCCACTGGTCTATTGGAGGGCCAAGCCCTGGCTTCCCGTCCTATCCTGTCACTGGACAGGGTGGGCGGTAGCATAGGAGGCTTCTAATAGACCAGAAGCCTCTGCATGCACACCAACCTCCGCAGAATACTTACACCAGTCACAGGATAGGGCAGGAGGCCTCCGGGAAGCAACGCTCCATCATATAGGATAAGTTATCCAAAGTAAGTACTTACAAGAATTTCTAGAACACGATGAGTTACATTTTAAGCAGAGTGACATGTAAAGTGAGGTCTCTTATTAATATTTGCATGGGTAGCGATTGGGATATTGACAGCAGTGTCAAGTGATAGTGACAAGTTATTACTTGGTCGACTTCTCAGGAGTTTACTGTATGTTAAACATGTTATTAAGGTGCAGGTTATCTATTGTCATTAAAATTTTGAGTACTCATAAGTAGGTTCTTACATTAGTTATAGAAAAGTACTTTGTCCAGCTCAAATCTCCCTACCCACTGTCTTCCATGGTTGAGGAGACCTCCAAATCTGCATCAGATTACTGCAGGCCTGTGCAGCTTTTACAATTGTATCACAGATTCAATTCAATTCAAGCCTTGTCAGATTCTGTTTACCTTCCCCCTAAGGAGGACATTATTTGGGACATGATACTCATTTTATTGACCTTGAATGAATGAAGGATTGAGTAAGCCACCTGGAATTAGGCGTAGAAACTGACAGTCCTAAATCAACTCCACTCAACCAATTTGGCACCCCAGGATATTTTTGATACACAGTATTATGATGGACATAGAAGTATTCTAAGACAATTGATATGACAAAATGTTTAAATAACAAATATTTACCTGATACCAGTTTCTGTAAAACACAGATTGTTGGTTGAGCTCATTGTAGAGTGAAGGGTCTAAGGGTCCATTTGCCTTGTCAACATCACCCTGTACCACCTGGTTTTGGAGGCCACTTGACAAGCCTGGAATCAAGGCAGGATTTTCTGTTACCAGGATGTGTTTAGGATCCTGAGTTATGCCATTATGCTCTTCGCTTACAGAATGATCCATTGGTACAATGTGTTTCATCAACAGATCATTATCACCATCCTTCCATCCCTGCACAGTGAGAAGGCTGCTAGAGTCAAGACTGCTGCAAACAGCAGGTTCCAAAACAGCAGATAAATGAGGTGCCTGTGTAGCCCATTGGGAAATATGGTGGTTATCCTTTGGTGCATCTGATGACATTTCAGGTAACTTACAGCCCAATCTTCTTCACTTTTGCTGGAGCATTTTCAAACTTTGTCTACGGCTTGTCACTTAGTTACTTAGTCTAACAGCTCTGATCCATCAGAAAATCTTGAGGTAAACTGTAAAGGTAGGATTGTAATCAGGTACATGCTGTGGCAATTAACAAACAATAAATGATCCTTGCACGGGATATGCCGCCTTTCATGTCAGGAGAACATCTCAAAGCACTTCACAGGATTTACTGTGCAGTGCAGTGACTGTGTACTTTGTAGGCAAACATGCAGAAAATTTCCTCACAGCAAAGTCCCACACACGGCCATGAAAGAAATGACCAATTTTATTAGGGGCATTTTGGCTACGACGCCGAGAGAAACTTCCTTCTCTTTTTCGAATAGTACTGTGAGATCTTGAATAGGCAAATAGTTCAACATCTCATCCAAAGGACAATGAAGTGCATCCCCAACACTGCACTCCCCAACATGCCAGCCAGACTATGTGACTTCAAAGAGGGGCTTAAGCTCACAGCCATCTGACTCAGGTGAGCGAGCTACCAACTGAGCCTGACATGTATATGTATATAATAATAATCCTTGTATTTGATGTAGCGCTTTTCACGTCTTCTCGACATCTCAAAGCGCTTCACAGAATATGCTGTAAAGTGAATTGACCGTATATTTGTGGGCGAACGCGGCAGCCAATTGCGCACAGCAGTGTCCCACAAACAGTCGTGGATTGAAAATGACCAATTTATTATTGTTTTGTTTTTTGGAGGAATTATTATTAGGCGTGTGGAGTAAGGAAACTTGCCCAAGGTTTCGCTCTGCCTGGAATTGAACCCGGGTGTGCTCTAACCACTGAGCTACAGGACTCCACAATATATGTGTATATATGTATGCCACCAAGTTTTGTGTTAGAGTTCAGTAAGTTTCCTTCATTGATATCTTAAATCTGGTCACTGCATTGCTAAGGAGACACAAGCAAGCACTTGAAAACAATGCAATCACATTGTATTAAACTACTACTAAGCTGTTTACTTGTTGGTACAGCACAACTGTAGTATTGATGCTTGAAGCATTAAGATGTTTTAACGGTTCCACTTTGTTTCCTAAGTTAAAGTGTAACATCATTATGATTTTCAAACGCTTGTTTTTCTTTCGCTTTCAAATTTGTAAAATCAATCAATAAAATCAGTCAATAAGAGTATGAAATTGACAGCAGAAAGAAGGAGATTTGTTTTTTGTTTGGAGTAGGCTATGCCCAACCAACGTTTAAATTGGAACTTCAAAGTGAAATGTTTACCTGTCTCTTAACAATCACTGACGATTTTCTAATCCTAACTCATCAAACAATTTCAATTTTAAAATTTGCGTTGCAGCAAAAGCAGCATTTTTTCTCCAGCATTCACTGAGAAAAAGGAGTCAAATATACCTGAAAGTATTCTTTAAATACCTAACACATTTACAAAGGCTACCTTTACCTTTGTGAGCAATAATTGTACAGACTTTCATTATTTCTAATTTCATCAGAGTAGATTTGGGGAATAATTCAAAGCATGGTTTACCCCACCAATAATTTAGGAAGAATCCGTCCCTTGTGAATGAGAAAAATCCAGATTGCTGGAATATAGGAAACACGTTGAAATTCCAAAAAAAAGAGAAGAAACCAGCATGGAATTAGAGTGTAACAAAGTGCATAGGATTTGCACACTTTTCCACCACTTCTCCCCACCCTGAGCACAGAGCCTGTACCAAAACCCCCAGTTTTAGCAATGCAAAAAAATAAATAAAAAAAATCAAGTTTTTTTTAAAAACAATTGCGATAAAAAAAAAGTCTTGGAATTTGCCATTTGCACCAAAATGCTCCCGTGGGAGAGGTCTGTGCTGTGTGCAGCTCACTCACATGTCAGGGTCTCTCTCTCTCTCTCTCTCTCAGTGGCTGCTCTGCTCTGCTCCCCTTGGCTTGGCTGCTGCTGCTCTGGTTGTCCTCTCCTCCTCCCTCTCCTCTCCTCCCTCCCTCCCTCCCTCTCCTCTCTCCTCCTCCTCCTCCCTCTCTTTCTCCTCCTCCCTCCCTCTCCTCCCTCTTCCTCCTCCTCCCTCCCTCTCCTCCTCCTCCTCCCTCTCCTCTCCTCTCCTCCCTCCCTCTCCTCTCCTCCCTCCCTCCCCTCCTCCCTCTCCTCCTCCTCCTCCCTCTTCTCTCCTCTCCTCTCTCTTTCCTCCCTCCCTCTTCTCTCCTCTCCTCTCCTCTCCTCCTCCTCCTCCCTCTCCTCCTCCTCCTCCCTCTCCTCTCCTCCTCCTCCTCCCTCTCCTCCCTCCCTCCCTCCCTGGTCTCCTGCTCCAAACATTTTTTTTCTCTCCCTCGTCGCTAAGAGACGAAGGACGCTGCCCCGACGGCTCATAGGCTTCCAGGACAGTGCGGGAGAGAAGGAGGGAAAAGGGGGAAAGGGGGGAAAAAGGAGCTCAGAGAAACCACCAGCTCTCAGCTCCTCTCTCTCTCTCTCTCTTTCTCTCTATCTATCTCTATCCTCTGGGGCTCGCAAGTCACCTGTTTGCAAAACGACCAGAGAGGTTTAACCCCCCCTCCTCCTCCCAATATTTTCAGATGGTGAATTTCATCCCTTTTTCATACCTGACACACAGCAGCTCAGATTCCCCCGATCAGTGATGTACCAAATGCAAGGCAATTAATGTGCAATTAAATTAAATTAACTTAAATGCAAGCACGTGCCTTGCGTTTGGTACGTTGGCCTTCATGTCAGGAGGACGTTGCAAAGTGCTCAGGAGGAGTTACTGCACTGTAATGTGTAGTAACTGTGTATTTTGTAGGCAAATGGGACAGCCAGTAGGCACACAGCAATGTCCGGCAAACAGCTGGGAAATGAATGACTTTTTCAATTTGGGAGCTGTGGGGTAGGAGATGACTCCCTTCTCTTTTCCGATTGTACCACATGTCTCTTTTTAAAGCTGAAGACCCCGAGTTTATAATAATCCTTGCATTTGATATAGCGCTTTTCACGTCGGGAGGACGTCCCAAAGCGCTTCACAGAACACACTGTAAAGTGAATTGACTGTATATTTGTGGGCGAACGCGGCAGCCAATTGCGCACAGCAATGTCCCACAAACAGTCGTAGATTGAAAATGACCAATTTATTATTGTTTTTGGTTTTGGAGGGATCATTATTAGGCTCTGTGTGGAGTAAGGAAACTTGCCCAAGGTTTCGCCCTCTGCCTGGAATTGAACTCAGGTCTCTGGCTTGCAAAGCGAGTGCTCTAACCACTGAGCTACAGGACTTATCTGGTCATTCCTCATAGTTCATCCTTCTAACCCTGAGGAACAGGCTCAATGCTCTCGCTCCTCTGCCTTGCCAGCTCCCTGTGTGGCACAGACTGGCACTGTGTGCAGTAGACCAGGTGAGGCCTGCCCAGCTACACAGCTACAGCACGGTCCACAGATCTAAACTCCAATGATTTGGGAATGTTGTCTTAGCCTCCTCTTTGCCTTGTTTATTGCTGCTTCACACTGTTTGGATATGGTGAGTGATGAACCAAGGACCATCACTGGGTTACTTCCAGCTACTCCCTTGGCAAATTCTGTCTCATCCATGGAGCTTGTGTGCCTCCTATGTTTACTTCCTATCTCCGGTCTCTTGCACTTATCTGTAATTAACTTTTTCTGCCAGTGATCAGCTTTAAGGCTTCCTTTACACCTCAATGCTGTGAAAAAACTCTCGGCAAATTATTTAGCTTTATTAAAACAGATAACAATGGGAAGGTTACTATTGTGTATGATTACTTATCTACTGAACTAACACCTGCACTTGTACAGTCAACCAAACACTGGGTACCAAGTTAACTTATCTACCAGTTTCTTCTGTAAAAATAAACAGATGATGCAAAATCATTTATTCTCTTCTATGTCTTTATTTGTACCATACATAATACAGCAATATTTGCGATCAGACAATACAAGAAGTTAGAAAATACCATTCATTGTTAAATTATATAACTTTACATTAACAATGACATTTTTCTCAAACATTGACACAAAAAAATCTATAATTTCATGCTTGCTTTGAATATTGCAGGGAAAAATATGCATGTGGTTTGACAATATCTAAAAGTATTTGAGTATTTGAAGGAATTTTGCACACTAACTCCTCTTAGTTAGTACGTGGATCAAAGGCAATTGAGCTCCAGACCTGTTCTCAGACCTCGATCAATGTTGGTCTAAGCAGACACTGGAAGAGCAGTTTGGAGACAGCTTCTCGTTTGATTAACTCCATCTTCTGTGAGCGGACTCAGCAACTCACCACAGTAGCACATCTAAGCTTAGTAATCTGGTCATGTGAAGGACTGACAACACCTGCTATTCAATGTACACAGCACTTCACCACTCACTAAGAAAGGCCACAGATTACATACCATATCTTCAAAGAACCTACAACAGCTACCTTCTAATAATCAGAAACTCAGTGAGGAATGGAAATATAAATGTCCTTTCAAAGAGGCATCAAAGCATTTTTGTGGCAATTTGTGCCCAGCTCCACGCCCCAGAGCTATTACAGGGACGGCAAACAAAGCTTGCACTCTGATAATAATGATTATGAAGTGACTTTAACGCACATTATTGATTCTTAGTTTTAGCACTGACGTAATCAGTACAATACAATTTACATTTATATAGCGACATCTCAAAAAGCTTCACTGGCACGAGAGCATATCTCTATTTACAAACTTGGCAAAATTGTGTGCAAGCTATTCTCAAGTTTTAAGCATCCTCAACAAGATAGCACATTTACACTAGAAAGATTCTTTAGGTGACATTCGTGATTTCTATAAAAAAACTAATTTATTTTGGAAATATAAAATAATATTTTCCTTATATACGGAAATATAATTATTTTACATTTCATTGTTCATCTCCAAAACAGTGTAAGAAAAAAACACAGGTGAATGGAAAGTTTAAAGAGACAAATTGAAATCGAGAGCTTTCAACAAAAAATGAAATACTTATCAGTTAAAACTATTATTGCAACAAGTAGCCCCAGTGGCCATCTTGTTTAATATCTTGTTTAACATTTGTAAATTATAATCAGCCCATATTGCAGCAAACAGTAAGTACAGTAAATATTCTTTATCTGACACAAGTCAGGACACATTATTCATTTTGTGAGTAATTTGTCACTTATATCAACATTTATTGTTAGCTCTGGGCAGCTAGGACCTTGTGGTAAAAGGTTCTGTATTCTGTGCAATACCAAGACATTAAACAACACATAATAAACATGCATCAACCACAGGATATAAATTAGTTAATGAGGAGGACACCGATGAAAGCTCATAAAATATAGGAGATTGTGGTTATAGGAACAAGTGCAGCTACTTGGCCCAGAGTCTGCTGTGTCATTAAATCTATTGAAACTCTTTAGTTCCATTTCCCCACCTTTTAACATCTCCCTTAATATCCTCACTCACCAATTACTGTACCGATCACTTAGTTGAATACCTCAATCAATTCTGGGGTCAAAATTCACACAACTCATGGCACCTTTGCCGATGTGCAACTATAATGAGAAATTCCATTGGTGGTCGATATCACCAAAGGCGACGTGCATGATATTGAATGGGTAATAAAAATATTAGAGACACTTTGGATCTTCTGCGATTAAAAAATACAGTTGTTTGACGACAAAGGGAAATGTACCAGCATGGCTGCTTCTTTGGCCACCTCTCCACCTCTCCTCTATCCCCTCCCTCATCTCACTCATACCTTGACCTCCCATTCCATCTTTGTAAAGCACTTTGAGACAAATTCACATGCCAGCGCTCCCTTCACACTGCACCTGGAGTAAAGTTCAGGCCACCATGATATAAGAGGCCACCGTGCCATAGAAGAAGTGTAGAGAGCAGTGAGGCTGATCTCCAGTGTAACAGAAGTGAGCTTTGTGGAATGATTAGAAATGTTCTTTAGGCTTGAAAAGAAGTATCACTGAGGAAACTTCATAGAGGTACAAGATATTGAAATAAAGTTAGAACAATATATTTAGCTACGCCAAGGTAGCAGGACAAAAGTACACAAGAGCACTGTTACTGTATAAAGGCCAGTTTCAGGCCAGATACCAAGAATGATTTATTTACACAGAAAGTAATCAGCACAGATTACTAGAACGTAAGGTAGGGGCAGCAACAACAACAACAAGATTACATTTGTATAGCGCCTTTCACGTCGGGAGGATGTCCTAAGGCGCTGAACGTTGTACAGCAGTTCATTTAAGAAACAGCTTGATGCTGTAATTGGAAGATAGCAGGATGGGCATTCTTAATTAATGAGATCAAATGGAGGATGTTTTCTGAATCTAGATGTGATGTTTTGACGTTTTCATATCTTATAGGAAAATCCTAAGCAATATCTCTTAATTCATCATTCTAAACTAACTAGCCAACTTCACATTTTCTGTGGTGACAAGCCAAAAATCTTCACAATTGTAATGAATGCTTTTCCTTCTCAGCTATATTTTTTAAAAATATGAACACTATTAGTTTAATGGGCCAATGTTCCACATAATAAAAATATTTTACTTAACTGTGCACAATTGAGTATTTATGTGCATATTTGGAAATATGTACNAAAAAGAAAATCAGATTGTTGTATTCATGCATGCTATGTACTGCGTCCATGTACAGTTAGGGTGCATTCTGTATCGTGCTATGCACAGAGCCAATAGTGGAAGTGAGAGCAGACTTTGTTTTACATGAATTCTGGATGGTTGCTTTGTTTTGTAATGTATGAATAGACTGTGAAGAAGACTATTCAAGCATGTAAATCTAATGGTGCTTGTGATGTGAGACAGTGCTCTAAATATGTGGTGTTCAAGAAAGCTCCTTTCTTGGTTATTGAAACTTATGCAAGTATACTTGGTGGAATGCTACGGGTCAGAGTTGTGGATTGTAATGTTGAATTAATATGATGCTCTGAGATAGTGTCCTGCGAGAAGGGTGCTATGTAAATGCAAGTTATTGTTGTAAGATCTCCTTGATCAGATTTAGGAAGCAAAAACAATTTTTGGAGTTTCAACTTCTTGGATCTTTTACCTGGAGTCTGGGTGAAGTTGATTATTGGACAAATTGCTCTATGAAGAGAATAAGACCTTGTTTCCATTCTGTACGTTATGTAATTTATATCTAAGTCTTACATATCCACGCACAGAGAAGATGATGCAGAATAGGCTGACCACAGAAGATTGAATATTAGATAGAAAGATCACATGAAAACAACTGGTGATCGCATGTAACAATAGTAAGTGATGATCACATGGTGAAAGATGATGGGGTATCTATTTCAAATTCAGAAGTGCGCCTTGACGTAAATACCTCACTGGTTCGTCTCGACTGGATGTACCGAAATGTGATGTACTTCTTGCTTAAGCACCAAACATCCCGGATAATCTTTGAAAAATAAAACCTGAATTTAACCCCAATAAATACATAGAGGATGGGATTTAGGCAACAGTGAAAAAAGGCTAAGCATTTAGTCACAGTTTTTGCAAGGCTCAAGCGTTTTAAAGCTTCACAGTGTAAGTTTTTAACTGAAGTTTCAATAAGTGTGGTAATGTTGTACGGCACTTGACAAACAACAAAGGCTGCTACCACTGCCATTACAACCCGAACTGCTTTGTGTCTCTGCAAGCTTCTGACTCTGAGAAGAGTATGGATTATCATAGAGTAGCAGAAGAACATGACCAACAGGGGTCCAAAAAACCCCAATGATAACTGTATTGATGGGGCAATCAATTTGCCTATTTTTGACCATTCCTTGGGATACCTGATCTCACATAGCTTCTGTCCAGAGGTTGTAAAATCGTACACTTCACAATATATGAAATCAGGCAAGGAGGCAGTAATGACAAGTAACCAGGTGACGGCACAAATTATTTTTCCATAAAGTAGTGCCTTCCCTCTGTAGTTGAAGGACTTAGTGGCATGGACAATAGCAATGTATCTGTCAACACTAATAACAGCCAACAGCAACACACCACTGTAAAAGTTGATGCTATATACTCCCTTAAGGAATTTGCACACAAACGTTCCAAAGATCCATTGATTTGACTCGTACACAGCCCAGAAGGGTAGGGTAGCTATGAACATTATATCGGCGACAGCCAAATTCAATAGATACAGATCTGTCATGGACCTCATCTTCTTGTAAAATACATAGGTTATCACCACCAACCCATTGCCAATAATGCCCATCACAAAGATGATGATATACAAGATGGGAATAAACACTGACATAAACTCCCTTATATCTTGCATTTTGCAAAGCGTTGACCATGTCCCAGAATTATTGTAATAATCACTATAATCACTTGTATTGTAAAAATATTCATCATCCAAATCTTCATCTGAATTCCCATTTTCTTTTGAATAATCCATTATTTCTAGTTTTAGAACCTGGAAAGAAACAAATAAATATAGTTAATGATCAGTAAACAACATCAACATGAGATCTGTTCACATGGTATTGCTGGACATCAGCAGAGGCCCCGAGAATCCACCAAGTGTTAACCTGAAAGACTTTATTGTCTTAAAATTTGAAATTGTGCAGAGTTGTGGAAACATCTTAAATCTGGTGGTCATTTTTCAACAGTTCTTAAAAAGAATTAGTTTCTACATGAAGATTGAACTAACTTGTAAAATACTGCATTTCAGACCTGAGCTGGGGTTGGGGGGGTAAGGGATGGGAGGGGAAGGGGGGTGGCCGATGGCATGATCGAAGAGGAGGGTCTTGAAGTGGGACTTGAACGAGGCTAAGGAGTGGGCGAGGCAGAGTGATTGGGGGATGGAATTCCAGAGGTTGGGGGCAGAGTGACTGAAAGCTCTCCCGCCAATGGTGGGGCGGGTGGGTTGGGGGATGTGGAGCAGCCTGGAGCCAGCTGAGCGGAGGGAACGGGCAGGTTGGTAAGGGGGTTAGGAGGTCGCAGAGGTAGGGTGGGGTGAGGCCATGGAGGGCTTTGTATGCGAGGACCAGGATCTTGAACTGGATCCTCTGAAGGATAAGGAGCCAGTGGAGTCGGGCGAGAGTGGGGAAGATGGGGTCATGGAGTTTGGTGCGGGAGAGGACGCGGCAGAAAAAAAGAGGAAGACAAACATTCTGGTTGTTTGCGGAATATAATTTTTATTCCACCCATAAAAATATTCAATACCCAATCATTGATGAGGTCACGGAGTTTGGTGCAGGAGAGGACACGTGCTGCAGAGTTCTGGATTATCTGCAGCCTGTGGAGGGAAGAGTTGGGAAGGCCGACAAGCAGGGCGTTTGCATAGTCGAGCCTGGAGGTGATGAAGGCATGAACGAGCGGCCTGAGGGGTGAGGTAGTGGCAGAGTCAGGTGATGTTATGGTGGTGAGGGAAGGAAGAGCGGGTCATGGATTGAATGTGGGGGAGAAAAGACAGTTGAGGGTAGAACAAGACACCCAGGTTCCTGACTGGGTTGGTGAGTTGTAGTGAGCAACCATGGAGGTTGATGCTGCCAGAGCCTGAGGTGCTGAGGCGCTGGTGTGAGCCAATCAGGAGGGCCTCAGTCTTGTTCACATTCAACTGTAGGAAATTTGCCCTCATCCAGGACTTGATGTCTGACAGGCAGTCTGTCAGGACAGCAGTGGTCCTGGAGTTGAGGGTGGAGGCAGAAAGATAGAGTTGGGTGTCATCCGCATCCATGTGGAATTTGACCCCATGTCTGCGGATGATGTCACCAAGGGGGAGCATGTAGATATTGAAGAGGAGAGGGCCAAGGACAGAGTCCTGGGGGACGCCAGATGTGACAGTGCGGGGGCTGGAGGAGAAACCATTAGAGGCAACGAAGTGGAGACGGTGAGAGAGATAGGATTCGAACCAGGCAAGGGCAGGTCCGCGAAGATTGAGTAAAGCAAAGAGGCGGTGTATGAGGATGGAGTGGTCGACAGTGTTGAAGGCGGCAGAGAGGTCGAGGAGGACAAGGAGGCAGAGGGAGCCCTGATCACAGATGTTCAGGATGCCGTTAGTGACTTCGACCAGGGCTGTTTCCGTGCTGTGGGCAGCGCGGAAGTCAGATTGGAGGGGTTCAAAGAGGGAATGGCGAGAGAGAAAGGAGTGGAGCTGGGACACAACGACTCGTTCCAGGACCTTGGAGAGGAATGAGAGGTTAGAGATGGGGCGGTAGCTGGAGAGGAGGGATGGATCCAGGGAAGGTTTTTTCAGGATGGGGGTGATGACGGATGTTTTTAGGGGGGTGGGAACTGAACTGGTGGACAGGGAGAGGTTGTTGACATCGGACAGGAGGGGGGCCAGAAGGTGGACTTGGAGATGAGGAGAGAGGTGGGGATGGGATCGAGGGAGCAGGTGGTGGGTTTAAGTTTGTGGACAGTTGTGGTGAGGGATGAGGGAGAGATAGGGTCAAAGGAGTATATGGGGGGATGGGTGGGGGAGGTGGGTCATGAGAGAGAGGTGATGTGGGGGTGGCTGTGGACGGGCCTGAGGTGGCTGAACGTATCTCCTCGATTTTGGATTCGAGGAAGTCCAGCATCTCCTCACAGTTGGAGTTTGAGGAGAGGATGGGCGAGGTATGGGAAGGTGGACGGAGGAGACGGTTTGTGGTGGAAAAAAGAAGCCTGAGGCTGTCCTTTGCCTCCAAGTTAACCTTGGAGTAGAAGGAGGACTTGGTGGAGGCAAGAGCGCGGTGGTAGATCTTGGTGTGGTGAAGCCAGATCTGCTGATGGACCTTTAGTTTGGAATTGGTCCAAGCGCGTTCGGCAGCTCGCACATGTGCCTTGAGGGAACGGAGATGGCTGGTGTACCAGGAGGATTTACGAGAGTATGAGGCAGTTTGGGAAGTGAGGGGGGCAAGGGAGTCGAGAATTGAGGAGAGGGAGTTGTGGAGAAAGGAGAGTGAGAAGGGGAGATTGATCAGTGAGGGCCAGAGGTGTAGGAGTTCAGATGACTCCAGGGCAGTGGAGAGGGAGAGGGAGGAAATGTTTTCCCATGGACGGTATGTAATGGTGGAGGGTTAGGAAGGGGGAAGGGGGAAGGGGTACAGACATGTTGAGGGAGATGAAGTGGTGGTCCGAGATGGCTTTATCGATGATGGTGATGTCCGAGACGGTGAGGCCCCAGACAAAATGGTGTGACAGGCAAAAAATGGGTGAAATTTCAGGCCTCTGTAAACCTTCTGCTCATCTGCCCCGAGGTGAGCAATAAATAAGCACAGGAGCTGAGCTCATGCAGTTAACTCCTACCCTATGTTTTCATAAACAGTCTTTGACTGAAATACTGTTCCTGTACCTGACAATAACATTGTCCCTGCCCCCACTGGCGAAAAAGAGTGCAGGTTAAATATCACATCACTTTACCCAGGACTCCTTTGATTTATAATAATAAATTTGATTTGTCTATGAATCCAACCTGGATCATTTTAGATGAAAGGAACCTCCCTGGTTGCTCTCTGAAAACCTCTATAGGTTGCATGCATGTGTTAAGATCAGTGAAATGTGGAGCCAAACTCAGGATTACAGAGGATTACAGGATTATAGGGAAACCCATTACATACATCAAAAGTAGAGCCATGTTATTGAATTCATTAGATTAATATCAGCCTTGACTTTTTCTTTGCAATTTAAAATTTTTGCATATGTAATTTATTAATTAAGCTTAAAATGGTATAAATTGCCAGATTGATTTATGAAAATTATTTTCTTTCTGATCCTTATAGAAACATAAAAATATACAACATGGAAGAAGATCATTTGGCCCATCGTGTCTGTGCTGCTCTTTTAAAGAGCAATTATTTCAGTCCCATTTAATAATAATAATAATAATAATCCTTGCATTTGATATAGAGCTTTTCACGTCGGGAGGACGTCCCAAAGCGCTTCACAGAACACACTGTAAAGTGAATTTAACCTGCCATTCCCCATACCTCTGTAGTTGGCTCCTTTGTACGATATCTATCCTTTTCCCTTTTGTAAGCAAAATGGATTCTGCCTCATCCATGGCACCCGGCAGGGATTTCCTTATCCTAGCTACTCTTTGCAACAAAAAAATCTCTTGAACTCTCCATTTGCTAGTTTGCCAATTATCTTAAATTAATGAGCTCAATCATGGACCAGTGGAAATAATTTCTCCCTATTGACTCTATCAAAACCCCTCATAGTTTAGAAAACCTCTATTTTATATTTCACTATAAAGTTCCATGAAAGGAAACAGAAATGAGATACTAAAATGCTAGAGCTAGCGTTGCATCTACAGAAAAATGATATTATTCATACCTGGGTTTAATTTAGCAGAAAGTAAAATCTTTTTCTAACCAGATGTTCGGTTATGTCAGGACAGTGCTATTATTCCATGGCCTCCTGATCTGTAATTTCAAAGTATTATGTTAAATACAACAAATTGCAAAGAAACATCATAATGTTAAAATTTTCGGATTTCATTGGTAATGAAATCCAGGCCACCGCTAATGACAGACCTGTTAGCCTGGCTCAATGACAGGACTTGGAAGGGCAAATCGGTCAGTGTCAGACACCTAGCTAACCAAAGAAAATAATAATACTTTGCAATATTTCAGAACATAATTCCTCAATAAGGAATCCTGCTAAGAGAGCATCAGAGCAGAGTTGTTGTGCAAATTAAGTGAGTGAGATTAACCTTCAGCTGCCAGAAGTAATTCCTGGTGGGTGTCTGACTGATTTGCCCCTCCAAGTGTCGATGATGAGCCAGGCTGCAGGTATGTCCACCTGAACAGGCAGATGGAAACTCGGTTTACTGTCTCATCCAATAAACGGCATCTCTGAAAATGCAGCACATCCCCAGCACTGGGGGCCAGTCTAGACTATGTGAGTTTAAAGTCCCAATTTGGGGCTTGGACCAACTACTTTCTAACTCAGAGGAAATAGGTGTTATGAGAAATATTAAGGAACCCGATAAGAAATACTGCAAATTTAGACCCTCTTATCTGAACCTGATAAGAATGGCCTCAATGTCGACCATTATGGCGATTTGAAAATTGACCACATCACTGCTAGCACAGCGGTCGCTTTGACACTAACCCACAATATGCCACTTATTTATATTGATATTTTCCTAACTTATTTCTATTTTTAACTGTCACCTGGGATACATTACATCCTTCCTTGCATTCGACTTCATAGATGTAGCTTTGTAGGCTGCTTCCATCGGGTGAATTGAAATAAAATAAAGATTTTGCCATGTAATTTTCAATATAGGTTGGTACAGTACTTTTTACTCAAGGTTTTTTGGAAACCTCCTGCTCTTTTGAAAAATTGACAAAATAAAATGGT